CAATTCCTAAGAAATGTAACTAAAAATTGCAATTTTTTTACTGATTATCTGTTGAGAGTGCAGGGGGCCAAGTGTTAGTATCTTAGACTCTGGTATTTCAGGTATAGTTGTAGGCTGAGGACATTTTCTTTGTAGGCAAATTTGCCCAGAGCCTCTATCCACACAGAGGTGTAAATGAGAATTGGCAAATTGTTAATAAAACCTGACCAAATGCTGTAGGATAACATGTACCCTAAAGTAGGCTAGTATTTAGTCCAGGGGGATAAGCCATACAGTTAAAAGCTACAGCGGGGTTTGTCATTTGATTCACATTCCTTTTCAAGTGTAACCAGTTAAATTTATCACCCGCAGCTCCTTTTATTATTGCCTAAAATTAATTGGAATTTTTTTAAGTTAAAATGGGATTCAACAGTGGACATTTCATGAGGTGGCTCTTCATGTCCACTTTTACCAGGTCAAATTGGAATTTAGAATATGAGTTATTGTGGAGGGAAGAAAATTTTAGGACTTGGGGGAAAAACCAACATGTGACACCATGTTCGGGAATCAAACCTGGGTCACAGTGGTGGGAAGTGGGTGCCCTCACCACTGTGCCATCCCTGCTTCCCAAAGTTCAACAGGTAAAAGGATTGCTCTACCAGTTCGAAAATTCCACTTACCTGTCTTCTTTAAATGAGGGAGAACAATGAAGGTTATAAATACCTGCAATTACTAATAGTACTACATGTATGTGTATATATGTTGTAGATAAAATTAATATGCATAAACGCATAGACATATGTTTTCTGTTAAAATACCAGATCAAGAAGCTGCTTCTTGCAGTCTGTGAGTTTGACACTTTTTCACTTCAGCTTTGATTCTGATTCTTTTTGGTTATTGGGTTTATTCTTGAAATCTCACATCAATATCCTCAGTGTCTTGTTTGTTTTTGTACTCTCAGTACGTTTCATGAGCATGTGATCAACCTGCAGAAAGTTATTCATCCTAATCACAAAGCTGTAAGAGTCCCTAAGGTATGTATTAATTCTAAATCTTTAACAAGTTTCAGTATCATTTTATGCACAAGTCTTTTTTGATCTGACTTAATCAAAGAATGTTCACATTGCATTATCAAGTAGTACTTGTATCTTGTTCTTTTTTGATCAAAAGAAAAATGTGGTCCAGGTAGGAAGCTAACATTCTTGTTTTTCAATAGATGTACCGTAAGGAAGCACCATGGGAATCAGCTCAGAAAGAACTGCTGGCAATTAATGCTTACAAGGTAGTTGCATTTATTCTATCTCTTGCTTTACTTCACTTAATGTAGTGTTTTTACCCCAAGGGAGAACAGGGGCACTAACTCCTCCATCAATCTCACCCACCTGATTTATGGCTCTCTGTTAAGGTGAAAAATACATCTTCTGCCTCTCCATTTTTAGAATCCTCAACATCCTATTTGACTCTGTTGTTTTTTTTTCCATCTGGTGCCAAGGTTAGAGCAGCACACTAATTTTTTCAGTGGACTGTACAAAGGGAAGGCACTTGTTTGCCATCTCCATCTCTTGATTTGCTCACTCAAAGTTGTACAACCGATGAATACAAATTGTGCTCACCCATATTAAGTTTTTCAACCAATGCCCTCTAGATTTGCTTCATGAATGTATCAGAAACTAGAGTAATGGGTGGTTTTTTTTTATGAGATTCTTCTCTTGCTTCCCCAGACACCAACAGACAAGCTCAAGTGTGTCAAGCGATGTTGTGTCACCATTATGAATCTGTTGTGTTTAGCAAGTGAAACTAGTGTGCCTGGTGCAGATGAATTTGTCCCAGCCTTAGTGTACGTGGTGATACATGCAAATCCTGAGGGCCTTCTGTCTACCATGCAATATGTTAATAACTTCTATGACAAGAGGCTCAGTGGAGAGGAAGCTTATTATTGGATGCAGTTTTGTGCAGCTATTGCCTTCATCAAAACATTGCGCTATGGCTCAAGCTAAATCCAAATGAGGTTAACAGATTCATCAGATACAATTTAAGAGGGTAGAACCCAACTTGATTCTGAATGAAGTAAGCAGTTAAAAAGGCTAAAAAAAAAGGAAGGAAGTTCATGTTGTTTTAGTGAGAAAGGGCTAATCCAAAGGTACAACATTGAAGTGATTTGAGAGCCATAAATTCTTGAGTGCATTACACTCCTGATACAATTACAACAGATGAAGTCTACCCAGATTTATTCCTTTACTGAAATGAACTGTGTGAGACTAAACTTGATCACAACTATAACTGTTTGGCTCTTTAATTAAGACATTTTACTACCACTGTTGCCTTATTTGTCATTTTTGGGACGCAGACAGTTACCTTTGAATCAAAGGAAGTTGCAAGGTGAAAGACATTGAAGACCAATAGCTCCAAGAGGCAAAAATATATATTTACGATATTATTAGGGAATATTATGTTGTTCTATGACAAAGGAAGTTGAAAATATTACATTGCATTTTACAGATGTGCCAGTCGTTACAACTTTAGATTAGGGTAATATATTTAATTAATTTGATAAACATGTTCTTGATTATCTGTGCACTTATTGTGTTGCATCAAGCATTTATTTTTATCAGTATGAATCACAGAAAAGCAGGCATGTTTGTATAATTGTTTCTCACATTTCAAATCATTTAACATGAGAAAGCCTTTATGTTCCGTGCAAAAAAATATGTATTAGGTTTTTAAATCTTGTAGGGGGTTTTAAATTCATGTTGTTTTTAACAGCATATATACTTAAGGAAGGTATCTTGACTTAATGTTGGAAACTATTTGGGATAGTGTGTTAAAAAAAGTGTGTTAAAAAAAGTGTGTTAACATTAATTTAAGGTAATTATTGTTTCAAGGTAGACATTCAAAATTTCAGATTTTTCTTGCTCATTAGTAAGATATATTAACCCTTTGCACCCCAACATCAGTTTGCATATTCTCTGTACTGTTTTTTATACATCTACTTAGGTGTTGACAAGGAGAATTTGTTTAACAATCAAGGGCTTTTTGGCTGGTGATCATTTTCTTTATTCTTGTGATACTAATGTGTGATTCAGGGATATTGTAAGGAGAAATCAGATGCTATTCACCCCTGGGGTTTCATGGTTAATCACCATGTAGAAGACAGCATAGTGTTACCAAGCAGTTCCACTGTAGGAGTAAAAAGTTTTATTACTTATGTATGCTTCAAGTATGAGGATACTACAGCTGTAAACTTGAAATGGATTTATTTTTATTTTTTTACTTAAAATTGATGAAAATACCCAAAGTAGTGCTAGCCCACAAGAATTTCTTCACATGGGAGTAAGTTTAACCCTTTAACTCCCAAGATCTGACTGTTAATTCTCCCCACTAGCTACTACACATTTCATTGTAAATTAGTTATGAGAACTTGGTGCTAGATCAAGATGGCAGATTCCACCTGATAAGTTTGAATATTCTCATTACCTGTTTGCTGAATAATGTATGGATATTATTGGGAGAAGTTTCATGTTGATCACTAGTGGGAGTTAAAGGGTTAAGGCCTTGAGAAAAGGGGCTTGAGGGGTCTTTAAGGAATCTGACATTTATTAGAAGTTAACAGTGGCTTGCACACAAGCTCAAGTGTTACAAGATGTGAAGACCCACATGTAGTATAAACCTAGCGTCCATAGGTCTTTTACAAGAGCTTTACAAATAAACCAGTTTATAGCTGATATGATAATTTTCAAATATTTGTGGAGAGTAATTTGGAATTACATTTCATTTTAATTACTGGTAGTAATGCTCTACTGCAAAGTTTGATTGGTTCAGAAAACTCACTCTATCCTTCCAAAATAATAAACGACAATACCAAAACTAATCTCTACTAATGTATCCCCTTTTTTAATGTTTGAAGCTCCTATTGCAGTTTTTGGATTGCTCCTTATGATGTTGACCTTTGTTCCAGATGGCTTTGATGGTAATTTTGGTGTTAGTTTCAAGGCCCCCTGAATTAAAATATGCACACAATTTGGTTAAAAACACTAACTGAAAGAAGACAAACTAGTAGGCTGCTAACAAAGGTTAGCCAAGAAGGTGAATTAGTGAGAAATGAGAACAAATCCATTATGTTGCAAAGTTTGATAAAAATTCATGACTTTGGCAACCAACTATTTAATACAGGATGACCACTTAAAAAGGTGCCATTATCACAGGTTCAATCCTATGCATAATCTCCAAGCTGCGCTCTTTACATTCCCTATGATATGACCACGGAAATTCTGTGAAATTATCAGAGCTCCCTTAGATGGCCATTATTTTCGTCATCTATCTGTTTGATTTAGGGGTTACACTCTACTGAGAAATATGATGCTTGTCACTCTTTAAGGTAAATTAAAAAGAATTGTTTTTTTTACTAAAGATCTTGTCTAGAAAGCCAAGTTTTTAAAAAATAAAAATCTGACCGATTGACATGACGAATCTCCACAGTGTTGTTGTCACACAATAATTAGTTCGCGTCTGAAACTTTTATATTCATTGGCGATGTTTACCTTGCTTTATTCGCCATGAGATCCTTAAAAACTTTGTTAGAAGAAAACAAAATTGTTTTTTCATTAAATATCTTTTACTTTTCTATATGTCTTCTATCTTCTAATAAGTTGTACTGGATTGAAGACCAACTCGCCGACGTCTCTACTCGATTTTACACGTCGGCGACTTGACCGTAATTCTGCACTGGAGCCAGGAGGCATATCCACTAGGAGGTTATGCAGGTTTCTGTAGCATTAGGCAACTAAGAGTATCCACCCTGATGGAGTGCCAGTCTATCACAAGGTCACCCCCCAGCATTTTATCAAGCTTCCCTGACAGTTAGCTGGTATCCATTTATAGTCTGGGTGGAGAGAAGCACTGTGAAAGAAGAGGTTTTTGTCCAAGAACACAATACAATGACCAAACTGCAAGGCCTCCCACCTCTCACCTCACAAGTTAAAACTTTGATCAAATAGATAGGATGGAGTTTCTCAACAACAAAATCTATGATCCTCTCAAGTTTAATCACCAGCATTGTCTCATTGTATCAAAACTGAACCATAATTAATCTAAAATAATTAATATTGACAATATCTTTATTCACCTATAATAAAAATTTATGCTATCAGTAACTCATATATATACACTAACAAAATAAAAACAAAATTACACTTAGGTGTTTTTCCAAAAACAACATGTTCCACATTTCAGTTTATCCATCCTTGTAAAATATTTATTTCCATGATATAACTGATTTCTTTTGTCTGTCCCTATGAAAGTCTGGGAAACAAAGTCTGAGAAATTACACGTACAAAATCAATAAACACATAACAAGTAAGACCTAATTGTTTTTTTTTTTTTTAAATCTTCCAGTTACCTAGGAAGAATTACCAGCACCTTTAATTAACAAAGTTGTCAACTGATCACAATTCGACCCTAACAAGACAGAATTTCTCCTTACAATACCAATAGTACATCACACAAAAAATTGGTGAGAGTAAAGGAAAATACTGATTAGGGGCTTATTAGTTGATCCAATATCAAATTGCCAAAACTAATGTCATAAGAATTGTTTGACAGACAGTTAGAAGAATTACTGATGAGATCTTGGGAGTGAAATGGATAATCAGGTTGTCCCACACTATTGACATAACACTTTTCCCCAGTGCAAGAAATTTTCGAGAGACAAATACATCACCGTCTCTATCTTAGTTTCATGAAAGGAGTAAAATAGACATTGATCACAAAGCACTTATACCAAGAAGCAAGCATCTTTGCCAACATCAACAATAGTCAAGAATAGTACAAGTCGTTTGAATAATACTCTACATAATCCAGTTTTTTTTTTCTAAGGCATAAAAGCCATTTTGTAAGTTTTTTTGGAAGCATGATGAGAAACTAACACTTGCTAATGCTAATACTGATGATACTGATGATTTATACGAACTAATACTTTACAATACCTTTCAATAGAGCTTTCTAAATCACTTGTAATTGTTATAATCAAGCCTGAGATCATATATTAGAGTAGATACTACCATTTTTATTACATTTTGAATTGGATTTGTTAAAATCACAATCATGTCAGCTAACTCTCATTCCCAAATTTACACTGATGGTACTATAGCAATGTAAATGCAGCCATTCTGTTGTTTGCTGTCACATTGTGAAACGAAAAGAGCTAGCATTTTTCTTGACAAAAGTTATAGCACCAAAACTGTAAACACACTAGCATGCTTTTCATACACCATGAACTGAGCTGAGAATTAAACGTCATGTCCAATGTGTATCAAGGCGTCTTTAAGTCATTTTTACCTACATGTACTGAGGCACACCTTCCTAAATCAATCTTTCAGCACACAACTTCCTACAATCCTCAAATAATTCACTAGTGTCCATTCCAGTTTTCTTGAACACAAACCACAGCCATCCAGCAAAATCCACCTCATTTTCATCCATCCAGTATTTCTCACATCTTAGTCCTCTTTGATGGGGGTTCATCCCTGGATCGTTCACTTCCACGTGAGTCAAAGTCAGCATTAGTCATTTCAGTCAGCCCCTGTAAACTAGAGAATTCTGGGCCTCCCTGCTCATCTTTGTCCTCTTGAGAGCCTGGTATGGAATCTGAAGGGGTGTTGCTGCGACTTCCTAAGACATTAGTGAAAAGTACATTTAGCCAACCAATATTTAAAAATTATTCCATGATTTTGTATTGGATATGATATGATAAATAGCCAATGAGGTGTGAAGAGCCAACTTAGCTATTGCACCATATCCAACATATGGGAATAAAATAACTTATATTAAAATCCATTGAATCCTGAACATTTGGATATTTGGAGCCTTTTTTCAGCTTTGCAACAGTTGGCTCAATGCATTTCCATATAAGGTGACTCAGAATATGAGCTGATAGCCAGAGTTGTGTGAACCAATCAGAACACTAGAGATGCAATAATCTGATTTGAAAATTCAATAATTGTAAATAATCAGGAAGTTCATTATGTAGCAATCAGAGAATTCTCCAGCTTCTATCCACTAATTAAGGAGCTGTTTCCTGCCACTTTGCAGATCACTTTCACCATACCTGCCTTGCCATTCTGCCCTCTCTTTCTTTGTTCTCCACTCTGCAATGATAAAAGTCTGATTACACCAAGTTGGGAAGATCTAGAGGCATTGTACTGAAATCTATATGCAAAACTGTACCGGCACCTCATTACTTACATGTAACAACAAAAACTACATGAGATAGTGGAAAAATTAAGCCAAGCATCACAGGCAGGGTTGTTATTAGAAGCCACTGAATCTACTATCAATGTCTAGCAAAAAAAAGTTACTTAAATATGTCCCAGAATGGTTTACTGGTTACTGTATGTTGTAATGTGGCCATACCTTAGCTGATCCTGCCTTTCCAGCCCACACATTTATTGAGTCAAACAGTTCATTGAACCCTCTTGCCTGGTAAACAAGAGAAGATAAATTAAAGACTGTTTAATTAACCTTTTACACTCTAACATCACTTGGCACATTCCCCATACTATTGTCTGTACAAATCTTAAGTTGCTGACAAGGAATACTTTTATAACTGTATATACTTTTCTTACTTGATGATGAAGATGATGAGAATCATGATAGACCTGACTCTGCCCATGAGGTTGCATGTGTCCTGTGGCTGGATCAATACCATAACCTGTGGCAGCCTGGGAAATCACATGTCGCAAACCTGGCACCTTAAGTGATAAAAATAAATATCAGAATGGTTCCTTTATGATCATTCCAACAATCACTATTAGCATAGGGCATTATGCAGTAAGAAGCAAACACCCACATGGTATAAAAAACCCAATTAAAGGTTAATTAGGGGCTCATGTCGCAATGCAATAACAGTTGATTACAAGGTTAATCAAAACTTTAACAAAATTCTCAAACATGATTGAGTATCACCACCCAATTTATGAATTAATAGGACAAGGTACACATCATGTTTGTAATTGGACAGTGTAATAGGACGTTTGCCACATCATGCCTGTGTAAGTGAACAGTGTGCATCATGTGGGCATGCTGGTGTCATGTATTTTGCTAAGTTAACCATTGTTTTTTAATGAAAAGAACACATAATCAATGTATAGTTTCTATCTCAAATTTGGCATAGTTTTGATTCATTGGTAACAGGACTTTGTGATGTCCAATTCCTTCTGTAATCATACTCATGATCAGCAAATTGTACTCTTGCTTTGCGGTCATCCAATTTCGTCAGTCACTCATATAATCACAGACCAAATTGGACTCCACTCAGTTCTATTACCATTATGTATATCTAAATGTAATTTAGAGAGTAGTGTGGTAGTGTGCTTAAATTTTGGAAAAAATTGCATGAATCACTCCGAGGTAAATGAAATCAAGAACTGTAGTTTAAAAATGCACAACACCCTTCCAAGGTAGATTATACACTCATCTCAAATTACATGAGGGTTGAATTTTATACAATTATAAACCATATGGCTCAGCCTCAGGGCTCAACCAACTTCCACTACAACTGACCTGAGACTGGACATTAGCACCAACATTAGATCCAGTCTGATATTCTGCACTCATGCCACTGCCATTCATCTGAACACCATACATGTCTGGCTGAGGCTGACTAGTAACTGGCATTTGATGCTGTGAGGATGGCACCACGCCTGTTGGACTCCCTGCTACAGCACTCCCAGGGTATTGTCCTAAAATTTGTAGGGAAATGTAAGGCCAACATAATTTTTTTTTTTTAATTTTTCTCTGCATACACAGACTGAGTTTTCAATGCTGACCAATCCAGTATCCAACAGAAGATTTAATGGTTGAAATTGAAATTTTTATCATGGGAGTGAGAGGGTTCTAAAATGTCATCTGGCACATTCCCTGAACTAAACTCATACAAACTTTAACACTTTACACCCTCACATCAGCGTCCAAACCTGGTATTCTTCATACTTTTCTCTATTTGTTTTCTTTGGTATTGACAAGGAGAATTTGTTTAACAATCAAAGCTTCTTAGGAAGCAAAATCTCCTCTAATCTCAAGATCGTAATGATTCAGCGGTATTAATGTAAGGAGAAATTAGTTGCTGATCACTCTTAGAGTTAGAGAGTTACCATGAACCCTCTGTCCACCAATGGATAGATGCACACCAGCCTAACAGCATTAAGGAGCTCTTCAAAAAGCAAAAATTATCAGACAACTAACACAAACCTTGAGCAGAGGGTGGCACCCCAGGTTGTCCTTGGACTTGACCTGCTGGACCACCACCAGAGGCAGCTTTAGCAGCATACATGTTAGCCTCTTCTTGAGCTTTTCCAATGTTTTTCTTATACCTAATTCTTTTATTGCCAAACCAGTTTGATATCTACATGGAACAGAAGTTACAGCAAATTTAATCATTTAGTAATGAAACTTGCCAAATTAACTTTTTACTTGGTTTTTACAAAGTCTGATGATCTACTTGCCTTGATAACCTAAGCCTGTACTAATTACCATTAAATGTAGGTCAACATCCACTAGAGTATCACCAGTTCATGTAATACCATACCTGAGCAACACTGATGCCACACTTTCTGGCTAGTTCTTCCTTTGCTTCCTCACTTGGATATGGATTACTCAAGTGAGAATAAAAGTATTCATTCAAAATTTCTGTGGCCTGCTTGCTGAAGTTTCTCCTTTTTCTCCTGAAAAGGCAAAAAACTTGGGGTATTAATTCTGCTGATGGTGTTTAAGAGGTTCTATGTCACCATTAGTGATCAGTAGACAATTAGGATAAAACAGGGCACGTAATTGCGCCTAATACAGGTGCCAATGCGACTAAATTTTTCACTTTGGCGACCAAATCTTGAAAATTAGTCGCCAAATTGGCAATTAGAATGTTTCATCACAACCTCACCAAGAGATATAGTGAATCAAAAAAATTTGCAAAGATAAATCCACGGCAAACTTCCCCGTTAAGTTTGTTTCCAAAATTCAGCACACACATCTCCTTCAATAACTAGACACCATCTTGGATTTAGATGAGCCTGAACGTTGTATATCATCCAACCTAGTGTCCACTTTGTAAAATGTTAGAGATCTTTTCCCTGAATTAATTTTGGAGGGTCTATCTAGAACGTTGACAGCGTAAAAAAAGGGTTTGTTTGTCTTTGAAGATGGCGACCAACTTTTTTTGAATTGGCTACCACTTTGAAGAATTTAGGAGCCAAGTGGCTATCAGAAAAAAAGGTTAATTTCACGCCCTGTTAAAAAGAATGGTTTAGAATCCTTTTCAGCAAAAGTAAATATGAAACTTCACAAAATAATTCTACAGTTCTTTTTCTATACAGGCCAAATGCTGTATCCAAAGCCTAGATAGTATACTGAAACTTTCTTGTAAAAAAATGGAAGCCATCACACTTTATGGGAAAAATAGTTTGTGAATAAAATATTTACTGCTCAGGATTACCTTGCATCCAGGAATCTTGACCTCAAAATCATCACAGCCTCACAAGTACTCTGCTTCAGCTGCATCTGAATTGCACTAAACTTACGATGAATGATGTTCACCATACGTTCTATTTCTTTGGGTGAAATGGGACGCGTTCTTGACTGTTCTCTCAAGAGATTCATAACATGGGTGGTAAATTCATTGCAAGCCTAAAAGAGGAAAAATCAAATTTAGCAAAGGCTATTACCCAAATAAACATTTGAAATAAATCAAATAAATGTGCTAATCATAGAACCAATAGGAATCATGAGGGTTTACAATGTAACACTTGTTTTCAAATGTTCCGATACGAAACTCTGACTGTTATTGTGATTTAGTTTTACCACAATCAATCCAAAGAGTGTCCTGTATTTTGTTAAGTGCACTGTACCTGCTCATATTTTTCCAGTTCCGTATGATATATCTGTCTGATCTGGTTTAACTTGGCTCTGTACTCTGTATGTTCAGCTTGATTTTCATGAACCCCTGCTGCTGCCGCTGCTGCTGCAGCTGACCCACCTCCCTTCTCGGGCCCTGCCACACCCTCTGCAAGGAGCATGTTATCAAGTCTCATCAGCTGAGGATCAGGAGGTTCATCTTCTTGAGATCCCCGGATACTCAACACTGTTGAAGAAAAATGTAACAGTAATTGAGACCTTGATGACCTTTCACTCACAAGATCTCATTAGCAATTCTCCTTACTGTCTGTCACAAACCTCTTATGAGTTTAGTACAAAGAATTTGGAATCGTTTTGCCTGACAATCCCCTTATTAATATTTTTCTTCATTCTCATCACTTTTCTGCTTGATATTGTATTGATACTGTAAGGAGAAATTCTGTCTTGGTCACTGATGGGAGTTGAAGGGTTAAGACCTTCTGAGCTACTTTCATCGATTTTTGTTTTATGTTCTTTTTTCTAATGAAGCATGACTGATCCTGGGATCATAATATTATGTGTAACATTATAATGAAAGCAATGTAATGATGTAATGTAAAATATTCATGCTGTGCAGGAGCAAGGAAGTAATAAAAGATAACTCAACAAAAGCACAGAATAGTTTTATTTTATTTTGGTTATTAGAGAAGAAATTTATAACACCAGTAATTCCATCTAAAAAAAAAATTTAAGGGTGCCAAACCTTAGTTTTTTCAAGACATGCGCACACAAAAGAACAACTCAGATGTAAATTATTCCTCACAAAATAAACAGGGACTCTAATTTTTTTACTTGCACAAGCATTCCATGAGTTTCCATGACCTTTTGGGTAAGTTTTATGTTCCTATCTGTATGCAACTGGAGATTAAATTGTTTGTTTTCAAGGATACAGTAAAGCTTCAAGGGTTTTCTCTATGGAAAATGTTGCTATTTGAAGTATTTACACCATAAACTTAATATCAATGGAGAGGGTATGTAATATGCTTCCTAGGAAAACTTTTTCTTTTACCTTGATCTAATTATAAATTAGCTGGAGCGCAACAAGTTTAAACCAAATATGCTTCATATATACTTATTAATTGGGCATCAAATCTGACCACACAAAAGAAACTTCTTTACCATTTCAATCCTGGGGAAATGGTTATGGAAACCATGAAGGGATTTTATAATATTTCAATTGGCTGCTTTAAGATTTTTCTGTCAAGTCTGCTTATAAAAAGTTTTCCAATGCGCATTACATTGGAGGCCATTGCTCAAGAACAACAATTCACAGTCTGGTTTCTTTTTTTATACCAACCAATAAAAAAGATCACCACATGCAACAGAAATCAGGAGACCTCTACACCATTATAATCAAGAACCAGAATGTTTTGCCGCAATGTTGACATGTTATAATTAGCTATTCACACTTAAGAAGACTGAAGAATTCAGTTCAACATTAGATTTTTGTTAATAACTTACATGTGTTCCAATGTTACAAACTTTTTTTGGAAGCTCTAGTAAAGTAGTAATGCTTAGTTTGACCCATAAAAGTCAAAAAAAGCCCTTGAAGGTCCACTGTATCCTTAAATTAAGGTAAAAACAAGCCTCCATTTACAGTATTTCGTATGCTTTTTTGCTTTAAAGAACATATTTTCTCTCATATTCCATGTCTTTCTCTGACTCATATTGGAATTCTATGACCTTTTAAATATAGTGAATGGTTTAAAATTTCATGACTTTCCAGGTCTTCTGTGACCTGTAAAACCCTTATGTAAGACCGTAATCCTGTAATTTCAGTTACCAATGAACGGGGCTTTTAAAAACACACAAGGAGTTCACCAAAATGTGAATAATCTTAATCAGGCTAACACAGGTTTACATAAAAAAAACGATTTTTTTTATGCACGTACACGAAGTAATTATTAAGTCATACTGAACTGAGTCGTGCTAGGCTGAATTTTGAATCCTAAAATTTGCAGTTTGTTCTCAGAGTCACACTCATGTAGTGAGAAGAAATTATCAGAATTTGTTTTTTAAAAAAGTAGGTATCAAAAACGGACACTGCTCTCTCAGTTGATAACAATTGCAAATTGATTCAGTTTCTAACATAATAGAGCGGTTATAAAGAGATAGTTACAAAATTCTCAAAGTACGATACACAGCAGATACTGGATATTCCATGGTTCTTGAGTGTAACTAAATTATAGAGAAACCATGTAACATTCATATCACTAAAGAGAGACTTCGCCGAATTATCGAATAACAAAACAAAGGTATTTTCTTTGTGTAGTTGGCTACTATTGTTTGCCTAAAGGGAGACCGTAGACAAACAATAAACATTCGCACCAACAATCCATTATGCTCACACTACAGTATAAACACCCTATGATATCCGAAATCACTACTTTTCACTTTAACCGCAACGAACGAGCAATCAAGCGAAAAACGAAGCCGAAAAAAAAATTAGTTGAGAGTAAGGAAATTTATCAGTGAAATCTACACAAACCTTTTCTTGATAGAGGCCTTTGCTTCGAAATCAAACACATTTAAACGAGTGATTAATATATCAACCTTCCGCTGATAAAAATTTGTTGTCACACAAACTAACTTACGACTTGTATGCGATCTTTGTTGATAAGCTTTAACACAATAACGACCGGGTGAATAATTTTGACGAAAAAAAAATCTGTCGTTAATAAAAGAAAAATGTGACCGTTTAATGATATCAAATCAGAAGGACGCATCCTTGACTTAAGGCCTGCAACCTGACGATTTAAAGTCAGAGAACGTTTCGAGAGATGATAAATGAATCGTTCTGTCTACGAACTTGACAAAAATTTCGAAGGATTTATTGAATACCACCAGATCTGATTGAGGAAGAAGAATGAGCCGCAAGTCTCATGTTGGTTCAAGCGTTTGAAGAAAATAAACACGTGGTAGGGTTAAAAGCTGTCATTACTAACCTGTTTTTTCCTTGATCTCACAGAGGACGTTGAAAAGGGCGGGCTTCATTCGATGGCAGTTCAGAGCATGTTTCCTAAATGGATATGTGATGGGAAAACAATGCATTATCATATGATAAGCCAAAAGGCATGCAGTCAAAAGATCGACAGTTATTAGTATACATAAGAGGGAACTGAACAAGTATGCGTCACTGCAAAGTTAAGCGTAGTATCGGAAGGATTTCGAAGAAACGACGCGAAATCAACAATGTGTTCGATTTCACTCACCTCGCTTGCGCTTCGTCTAGAGACTGATCTGTGATGTTCATAATTTGCTGCAAAATATCACCTATGTCCTGCTTACGACCGTCCGGGCCTTCTTCAGGAGGTTTCATCTGCTCCAGTGCAGCTTGCTGACCCGATAACATGGGAACTTGGACAGAATTCATCACATTTCCTTCCATCACGCAGTAAAGATCTAGCTCTCGACGAATAAACCTACAAAATCCAAGATGTCCGCGCTAGAGTGACGAAATAGGAATGCTCAACTCTATACTTAACCGACGGTCAAAATAAAGCCCTGCTCGGCCACTTTTCGACCTCGCAGTTTCAAAGCAACAACACTATATGATAGCTGTTATATTTCACAGAGTGTTACGCTCGGTTGGCGGTCGTGTTTCCAATCTGCCACTCAACAAATCTTTTGAATTTGAAGCACAGACGTGTCAATATCTTTCGGTGCGTGAGAAGAACGCGAATGATTGACACCACTGGATTTGCTCAATTAGCATAAAAACCTTCATGTAAAATTCATCAGAGGAAAGTCACACAGCTCTCACTCGGTGGTAAAAACTCACCTTCCTTCACTTAAGTGCTTCCTGCCTGAACTCAGAGCGTCAATGTACAGTTTCCTCGCTGAAAATTTAACGAGAACAAAGGATCATCGAAGGGACGCCCCAAAATTTCCAAAATGGCGGCCAAGTGAGGACAGAATGTCAATATTCATTACTGTTGCTATGGTGCTGCCTGCAGGTGTTGTTTTGGGGCGGAACAAAGAGCAGAAATTCAAAGAAACAACAAAAGGCAAGTGGAAAGACGTCCGGTCACGTTTTTCGTTACTTTTGTTTTCAGTTTACTTTGAAATCGACATTTTAGGTTACTCTTACGTGAAGAAAAATGAAACACTTTATACCACATTCAGGCCAGACATGGTTTCAGAACGTATCATTAAATATGCAAAATAATTCGTGTTAACATAAATTTTTATCACCAGCATCTTCTTGTTCCATTTTTGCATTTGAAATCAGTTGGGGTGAAAATTGTTCAAACAGCAGAAAAAAGCTTAAGACTTCCCACTTCAATCTACCAAAAAAAAAAATAAAAATCTTGGAACCTCGATGAGCAAGACTTAATTTGACGCCATCAAAGGGGGAAAAAACATCAAAATAGATAACAATGAAGTGGGTTGGACGCGAATATTGCCACATTTAAATTTATGATCCTTCGCTGTACTCACTGAATCCTGAGACAGCTTAATAGTATACTTCCCTCTGCTTGCCAGTCAATTGCTTCGGGTTGCAACAGCTAAGTTCATAATGATGATAATGTTATTTTATTTCATAATGATCAGAAGCATTTTTAAAACTGCAAATCACGTTGAACGAAAAATTAAAAAATAATTTTAAAAAATAAAAAAGAAGGGAAACTTTTCTCTGACGTTAAACGTGCGTCTATGCTGTCCTAAATCAAAGGCAACAGCCTATCACGGATCGTGCATTGTTTCTATTCAGATTTTAATTTACGGTGTACAAAGACAGTACAGACCTAAAAGGAAGTTGAGAAACTACGTTTTTCCTATTTCCCATCGGAATCATTCCGTTGGCGGGGGCAATTGCGTTAAACTACCTTGGCTCGAACGGTTTTCGATTTGACGTCGCCAAAAAGCCCCCGCAACTTATCTGAAAATCCCTTCGCTAAATAAAATTTTTTTAATATTCCTCGTTTCCAGTCTCCCACTACTTATTTGTTTTCATAATTTTTTCTTTATTTTTTTCTATATGGCCATCTGTCCCATCTCTCCACCCACGGGTATCAACGGAACAAATAAATGAGAAGAAAGCAACGATTACATAGATTGTTTCAGTGTTGGCAGCAGAATCTCCCACCCCTCGGTAATAATGAGCCTGTGAGACAGTATAACCACGTGCAATTGCTTTTTTCCTAGGTGACTTAGCAACTTGGAGATTAGCCAGACTTTTTGTCTCAATTTGTGGAAAAAGGATTTTCTAAAGAAACAGCCTTTATGAAGCATTTATTTCTGCCCAGCATACAGCAATTATGAAAATCAGTTGTTTATTTTTTACGGTCAACCTTTTCAAAACGATTCTGCCGGCTACACACAAGTAAGCCTCTCAGATACTTATCTACATTACATGGGCAAACTGTTTATGCACTGAAACACTTAAAGATGTTATTCAAAGTGAAAATTTTCTATTTCTGGGCTAGTTTTTCTTTCAGACATGCTGTCGCCAAGATTAAAGAGATAAACTTTTCAGCAAATGGTACCAGGAACCCATTTGGCAATGTGGTGGCTCCTGCTGGTACAGAAAAAAAAACTCTTACTGATATCATCATGGTTCTTTGAAACATTTTTTGAAGTGATTCACTGAGGTCTTTCTAAAGACAGATTTTTCTGAGTGCATCTACCACAGTTGTTTGATGCGTCCATTTACGACAGTTTATACTTCTCAATACAGCGCCCATGTTTTGCTGGACTAGATCTGACCTCAAACTAAAAAGGAAAGTCAGTCTTAGGAGTATTCTTTTTTTCGAAGTTTCTTTCGCAACATTTTTCGCTATTTTTCACTTTCGCTATTTTATTGTGTGTGTTTGTCACGTATTTTGTTGAAGGTTTTTATTTATTCGATCAGCCTTTTTCCAAAACTGATATTGTAAGTCTTTCTTAGAGTAAGGTAAACTTAAGCGCACAGGAAGTAAATTAAAATGCGTTAAAAACAAAGAAAAGAAAAGCTGGGCTAATCTGTTGACTATCCATAGCTTTAGACGTCGTGGACAGCGTACACTGTGAACAAACATAGAGAGCATGCGCGAGATCGGGCGTGGAGAGGACCACGAGAGCAAAACTACCACCATACCCAGCGGCTTTCTTAAGTTTACTCATTGGATAATCATATGATCTCGGGGAAAATTAGGGACTGAACGTAGCTCAGAGAGTGCTCAAGCAGCAAGAATCTCTTATTTTCATGGAAGATTTGGTTACATTCAGTTTATTTTCTTCTGGACTTAGCTTCTTGTTCAAATAAGTCATCAGAATATCGGCACTTCACTTTCCCAAGTAGGACAATCGAAGACAAATAAATAATATTTTTAAGTGCATAAAATATTTTTGATCGGTATAAAATTAGACAGAGATATAAAATTTATTTTATTCAGCTCAGCTAACAACAAATACAAATTAGAAATACGCAGAGAAGAATTAAGACAAAGTAAGAATTATAAACTAAATCCCTGGTCGTTGATGAAGAACGATTTTTACATCCCCCAGATAAAAATAGCAAATGATAAAACGATCCAGTGCCATCCGTCTTATAAAGAAGTCTGCAAGCAGATACCCTCTCTAACAGTGATCAACAGCTTCAGTTTTGTCTCAGGTCAGTTCTCTGATAGTTTTTACCCTACATACATATCCTTCGCAAAGGTGACAATTTCGTTGTAAAGATTTATTGATAAAAAAAAAAAATCAAACGCTGTCGGAAAGCTTGTAAAGTTTTTCAGGAGAACTATTTAGCGTGCAACTGGCCTCGTCATGTTTAGTACACATCGGAGAAACTTTCTTAGTCTGCATGTTTTCTCCCTGCTCTGGTGCACGCGACCTCGCAGGCCGGAATAAATCTCGAGTCGGCCTTTTTGTCCTGCCCTGTCGATGTCACTGCCGAAATGAAATTGGTAGAAGAAATGTGGTCGGAGGTGTATCATAAGGGAGGGCCTGAAGGTTACTTATTTGTGTACATTTATACTTCATATCATCTAGTGGTCGCCTGCTATCGTTTTAATTGATTTACTTAATCAGACTGTATTACCTTTGGTGAAAATTGCTGGCGTAAAAACTTTTTATAGTATTAGGGTTTTAACACAACTTTCTTATGCAACAAGCACGTCTGCAAACAAACTCTTCATTTGAAAATTTTGATAGAGAAGAGTGTCCTCTTGCGCCTGGTTCCTTCCTTCGGCGTTCTCTCTTACCCACAATCGCCTCTTTGGCAAACCAAACTAAGGGTCTGTGTACAACTTACACTGATTTCTTAACCATACGATATTGTTGGGCCCCTCCCAGAGAAGCCAAGTTTACCACTGCGAGCGAGAGAGTATAGTCTTTGTTTAAACGAAAGCTATCGCCCTTTCGATGTCAACTTCTCAAAAACTTAAACCCCTCTATACATGTTTGTTTTGTTCTCTGGCCCTGGGAGTTCCTGATGGCAGCTATGATAAAATTTTAGCGTCACCTGCGCCAGATGAAGATAGTAACAGCAATAAAATAATGAGAAAAAGGAAGCACACGTCAACCGTAGGATAAACCTCCCTTTTTAGAAAAACAATCACAAATGTGTCTTTTCCGTGACAGCCGTTCAGACCTCTATAAATATTCTTGACAAACAAGGTGAAAAAAAATAACTTCAATGATCACAACAAAATCACTAAAAATTTTTTTTTCTTAGTCTGACAACAATTGCAAATCTCAAATGGCCCACTCTCTGGGGGTGGGTCAACCAAACCGTTCCTGTTTTGATCTTTGCTGTACTCTGTCAGAGTATTCTAAAGGGACTTCATGCGCGGTTTATTACGAACGTTTTCCAGTGTCGTTTCGGTGATATTATCAACTGAGTTGGTAATGTAAATTGGTCACCGTAAAGAGTTTCAAAGCTAACGTTTCGAGCGTTAGCCCTTCTTCAGAGCAAAGTTTATGCTATCAACTCAGTTGATAATACCAAATTTCCATGTTATACTCTCCCACCGACGCAGCACCACAGTTTCTTTAGAAACTTAAATAAATAAATAAAAGAAGTTTATTCATCATCATCGCAGTTAATCTGAATTACAATGTGGTTACAAATGTACAACTATAAGAATTACATACTGTTAATCAATAAGGGACTAGGTTACAATAGATTTTATATTAAAATTACAAATACAAGTTAAAATATAAATGTAGGTATATATGGTCTAAAAATCTATTGATTGTTGAAGGCTAAATTAGTACTTTGGAAAAAAACTACGGCGCAATCTTTCAGTCCTGCATTTAGTTAATGTATATATGTTAGTGCTTCTCGTTTGATAGTGATGCATGCGCTGTCTCGTCATTGGGAGATGTTTAACGAGAGACTTACCCCCTTTATTACACCCATTTTGAAATCATTGGTGGTCCCTGTAATCTAATTGGTGCGATTTATTCACGAATCGCACCATTATTTGCTTTAAATCGCATCTTTTTCCCAGCCAATGAGAAGGTTACACTAAAAACAAAACAACCAATCAGATTTCAAGGCTTGTTTAATTAACCTATCAAATTTCAGGCAAATGAAAAACAAAGAGTATCATGTGGCAAATTTTGCAACTTTTGTTTCCGAAACTCTTATTTTTTCCCCCCATAACATGGATGAATTTAATTTCAAACGTGCTTAGCACTGCATCAATAAAATAATTGAACTGACCAAGCCTTTATTTGGGCGATTTCAAAATGGATGTAATAAAGTGGTAATTGAACCTCTTGTCGTGCAATTTTGGGCTGAAATCATACGCGTGATTTCAAATCGAACTCACGCTGCGCGCTCGTTCGATTTTGAAATCACGCGTATGATTTCAGCCCAAATTGCACTCCATTCAGTTCAATTACCATTATTTATTCGTTTTTCAGTGTCGGTCGACGAGGAAATTACCTTTTACCCGACTCTTTTTTTTACGTTTGGAACCTCTAATTTGGTTCCTCAGAAGGGAAAGTTATGGGACCAGTTATTTCAAACAGACTTCAGCTGTTTGTTTAGCAAAACTGCAAACTGTAAACGATCTTTCATTTGGCCAAACTTCTCATTTAGATAGTCATTTTGGTGATCAGTATCAACAGACTTATAGCGAACGCTTATAAAGCATTAAGTCACTTGAGAAAGACTCGTAATATTGAGAAGTCTCTAGAGCCATTGATAGTCTAAAACCGCCGGTAAATGAACAAATCTTAGTTTTTGATCATTTCTTTTTTATTCTTCTGTACACGTGTCGTCTCACTTGCTGACAATACACGCATAAAAGTCAGAATTTCGGAGTGTAAAATGAATTCTGCATCATTTGACTGAATGAGTGAGTTGGATGAAGAGTAGGTGATTTATAAATAAATGACAAGCTTTCGATGACTAGGTAGGTTCGAGATTCCTATTTCTTTTTAAATGACATGACTTTTATCATTACTGCTAGATAGCTGAGGACCCCCATTTAAAAGCCGCATTTAATGATTAATAGTGTTCAGTAAGTTGAGCCAGAATCGATGAAATTTTTTTGCCTTTTGTTATTTTTTCGTCAGCAAAGAGACCTCATCAGCAGCATCAGAGGATCATCGGGTCTCCTTTTGTTATATTTACGGGGGTAACTTTGCAATTGCTACTCAAGTTGAAAAAGCACTTCTGCTGCAAAGAGATTAAGCAAAGGAGCTCGAAACATTTAGTTCACCAGGAACAATAAATATGAAATTAAGTCCGAGAAGCTTTAACTTAGACTTTATTCTGACCGGCAAAGATGCAACCAGGAGAGGCTGTATAGGCTAATCTTATACACAGATTAAAATTAAAACCTAAAAATTGTTTCGTACCGGAGAAGAAAAACTTTCGGAATAGCCGGGAGGACCTTCCAAATGCCCGCGTTGTTCTAATTCTAAATGAAGTTATTCCATAAATCTTAGATTTGCGTGGCAGCTATTGTTATTGTAAGGTCAAAGTGAAGACTGTGATGAGGGCACTGGGGCTACTCTAGCTGCCGCTCCTCCTATCGCTGCCACAGAAGACAATGAATACTTCGTAATCTCCGTGCTAATCGCCTCGCGTGTGTTCTGCTCAGGACTAAAAATAATTACGTACACTTTAGGCCCGAACATGCAACCTAAAAGAGCAAATGAGCTTACGAGAGTGGTTACTCCCCCGATAACGCCTACATACCATCCCTCCAAGCCAAACACCACAGGATAATAAGCAGCGGAGCACAACAGTACAATGTACATTGCAAAACCAATATATCTCGCCTCGTTAAAATTTTCCGGAATTTTTCTACCTTTGAAAGCATAATAGATACATGCAAGTGAAAGGATCATGAGAAATGTTACACTAATGATTAAAAGTACATGGCCAGAAACGGATCTAAAAGGTTTACAAACCACAAAAATATGTTGAAGAGGACGAACGATGGTTTCTTTGGAGGGCGGGTCCACTAAAATCCAAATCAAATTCAGTATGATCTGTATGGACGATAATAGAAATAAATGAAGTCTCTGTTCTTTGAAACAGAAGTTTTTCCGCCTATTTGTTCTGGAGGCCAAGCTGTCGGGTAACTTACCCTGAGGCCGAAAAGCCTTGACGATTTTTCTTGACTTCAAAAGAAGTATGGAGACGCATAAGGTATAGACAGTGTCGCGCCAGATGCAGACAACTCTACACAAGATGTCTGTGGGAGTAAATAAGTTTAGTAAAGCAAAGACGAAAAATAACACCAATACAAACAGCAAAATAAAGCTAAGTTCCTTGTTCGAAGCCTTTACTATCGGCGTATTCCGATACTTGATGAAAATAGCGAAACAGAGGGTGGTCAAACACAGACCAAGCGCTGCTGTGCATGTCACGATAAGGGCTGAGATATCGCTCCATTTCAAGTTGTTCAGTGGAAGATCCATACATTGTGTCCTCTCGTTGTTGGGTTTCTCTCTCTCGGAACATTGGGAACAGTTAGAAGAAATACCGTCGGAACTTATGGTACCAATTGGGCAGTCGACACATTCCCAACAACAAGAGGATCTTGTGACTTTTCTTTCACCCGGTTTACAGTCTTTGGAGCAGATTGATGAGGGGATGCCGTCGAATCCATCTTGATTGTTCCAGGTTATCATCGGTAAGTTCAAGTGTAGTTTAGAACTGCTTCTTCTAGCCCACCAACCGATAAGAACGCCCTGAAGACCTTTGCCAAACTGGCTCTTGAAGTTTACAATATCGTACGAAGCTTCCAATGGGTCACCGCGTTCGTCAAATTGTACTGTCCCTGTCAATCCTTGGAAACTCACATTCCTCAAGTAAAGGTCAAGACAATCCCCAATCACCTTCAGATCTTGAAGTCGTGGGCATTTTCCACCCTCCAAGAGACCATGTGGCTCCTTGCAGTTGTACATATTGTGTAGGGCGTGTGCGAAGGCGTACACCCCATCAATAGTGTATGAAACGTAAGGACTGCTAATGAATGGATTCTCATCAGAAAAATACTCTTCTAATGAACCAGATAAAGTGTTTTTATTTTTTTGGTTATGCCAGTATTCTTGCCACCACAGATGGGTGCTTCCCGAAAAGTTCCTTTTAGCAAGATTGACCAGATATTTTTGGTATTCCTTACATCGCGCAGCCCTGTGAAAAACACCAAATGATCCATTAAGTAAGCCAGCAAAGCGATCATGTCCGAAAAAGGGATCTGTTGGCGCTGTTCCGTCAGTAAATATCCATGTTTTTCCTCTAACACCTTGTCTTACTGCTTCTTCCATAAAAGATTGCGCGAACTGTCCGTAAAGCCAAAAAAACACTACCTTAACATTTTCCATTTTCTTGAGCTCGAGCACGATTTCCTTAAACTTATCATAAGGATCCACTCGGGGGACAAACTTTTTCAAGGCAATACAAAGCTTTTCTCTCGAGTTTGCTTCTTTTTCTATTCCCCAGATTCCGTATCGGCCGAAGGAGTCGTCAAGCGCTATTGCAGCAACGTAAGTCCAGTTGAAGAACTGCGCCATGTCAGCTAGCAAACTTGCGCGCCAACTGTCAGGCGAAACTGTGCGGTAAAAATGTTTGTAAAGTGTTGAACTCAGTTCCACGCTTGTCGCTAGGGAGCTTATGGACGGAATGTGCGCGATTTTAAGCAGACTCGACACCATGATTGCGCTGGCAGAATCCATTGGCCCAATCACGCCTGATATTTCTTTGAAGTGGCCACTGAACGCGTTTTCGCTTGTACAGTTTTGGAGTGAAAATCGATGATCACTTTTCACCACTAATTCGTAAGACGCCTCAACGGCTATTGCTGGCTGGAGACAGTAATCCAAGAGTTCATATCCAAGTGTCACATTTGACAAGAATGTCCTGTTATCATTTATTTTTTCGATGGCAAATATCATTGCTTGTAAGGAACCCAAGTTTGAGGCGAGGAGATTGCTGCAGCTGTTGTTAATTACTCCCTCGGTATGGTGTAGATCAAACAGACCCCCTAACATGATTGTACCATCTTCATAGGCAGTCCTCCGAGGAAACATTTTGACTTCTGCCTTTACTGTACACGATAAGACCACAGTAAGAGATATAAACTTTAGAAACGACGAAGATACCGCCATGATCATGTTCTGTATGCTACACGTTACGAGAGGAGACAAAACAGAAAAATTATTACAATTATCAATTGTCTCCATGAGAGATAAGTTGTTATTCTTAATTATGTTTTTTCACTGGGCCATCTCACCGGCGTCATTTGAAGTGTGTTAATTACAGAAAGAACGACTTCCTCTATTAAAAGCACGATTTTTGAGTAGAATAGGTGATTCACTCTGTAAACACAATACCAGTGAAACGTGCTAAAAACTTCGAAAAGGGAAAACGATTTTAAGAGCTGATAATTTTTAACAATACCCAAGTCATTACCATGTAGGCTAGCCAGTACCATGTGGCTTTTGGACACCTGATAAAAATTCCGTAGCGAGCTAAGAAAGTGGATGCTGAATTTGAAACTTAGTCAACACACATTTAACGTGTGCAATTCAGCACGCTCAATTACAAAATCAATGGTTGTTTTATCTGTTCAAATCTATTCACTTTGCCCAGATGAACACAAACGGCTTGTAAAAAATAAAAAAAAATTATATACTTGCGATGAAATTCCCAGGAAAATGGTGCACATCCAAATCGAATTCGTTTTCAGCTCCATTCTCTGGGTGCAAATGATTTTGATTGTCCATGCTAATTTGAATTACAATACTTGTTCGGTAAAGTAAATCCACATGAAAAAGTTCCATTTGCGTCAAATTTGACAATCATCCAAAGAAAGCTAAGCTAATAATAGAACGAAAGCTACTGTCTTCATTATTTGAACAAAAAATATTTTTAAGTCCGGCGGGTGCTAAAAGCAACTAAAACGACCGGGTGCCGTTGCTAATAGCAACTAAAACGACCGAGTAATAAATTGACTCTGTCTGTTCGTTCAGAAAATGGCGACAACTCAGGGTTTTTAATCAACAAAGAAGTGATTTTTGTCTGATTGGTCATTCGTGGTAACAGAATTCAATATAAAATAGTCATTATGAGTGGAGCTTTGACAACCTGGAAACTAGAGAGGGGCAGTGACAAATTGTGAAGTTGGAGATGACTTAAATTTCTATTGAAAACTAATTTTTGCGAGTTCATGTTTAAGCACTGAAGAACTTCGACGAGGAAAGAAGCGTGAGGAATTTCCTCAAATTAGGATCAAACAGGTCATCTGCACATGAATATGACGAGTTGACTCTTGATTCGCACGCGGATTTAAAGTAAAATAAAATAACTGAATTTTTGCGGTGTTGTATCTATCGATTTATTTCTTTGTAGATCGAGCTTTATCGGTCAATATCAAAAACGTCAAATCTATATGCAACACAGTCGAGTCCTGCCTGATCCTTTGGTTGAACTTATCAGGATAAACAGGTTTCTGTTCACCTACACTCTTATTGTATTGATATCATCTTCGAAACCGTTTTCCTTGATGATGAATGTTGTTATTAGTAATTGAACTGTAATACACGTTTCGATAATCTTTGTTTCCTCGCCCTCGGTTGGCCGAAGTCGCTTTCGGTTTACTACTTTCGAATTACTACTCTGAATTCAGAGATATGTAGATCTCTTGTGGGGTGGTATGGAGTGTGACGTTTATGGAAAGCAGCAGACAACAAAGAATAGCTTCTGAGGGCTTCATTTTTCTTGGATACTTCTATCGTAACTTTTAATCACACTCGTCAACAATTCGTAAAAAAATTGTTTTGGTGCTTTACAAAGCAGATGTTTGAATGGAATATTATTAGCTGTAGTGAAGAAATGGCTACAGATAAAAAAATTTTCGTGGTGACGCTTACCTCGAAGGTCATTCACAAAGTTTCTTTCGCCACTATGTCGGTATTTGAAGAAAGAGATCGTATTTTCATGTCTTTACTCATCAATGAAGAAACATTTCCTTGCGTAGCAACTTGTCAAAATTTATCATTATGTTGTACAGTTCCTTGAACTGAATTTCCTACCTGTCCTGTGGGTAATTAGCCTGGATAACAAATCATCACTAGCATGTAACTTAACAATTAGATCGAGCACGACCATTCCATCTTCAGAGTGACATCTCCGTTGCTAGCAAAACCATGAAAGACGGATGAATATTCGGACACCTTCATCAAATGCCTGAAGCCAGAATTTGGATCCAACTGATTGTTCCCCTGGAGACAATGTCCCTCCGTAAAAATGAAAATTTCCCCTTAAAGAGTAATTTGCATGTAAATGTGTTTTGTATGACATCCAAGAACCACCGGGATCTTTCAACGACGAATTACAACACAATATAAAAATTAAATAAACGGGACCTCCTGTCATTATTTATACAAGTTCCAAATTTTCAAAGGTAAAATGTCTCAAAACTTAGAAATATTCCCACGGTCTTTTAGTTATAAAGTAGTGATAGTGAATTTGAGCGGGATCAGAACAATTGGTTGAAGCATTCGAGACACGCAAAGTTTGGTTCAAACGGATGGGTAGCTGTTCATTGAAGTAAAGAGCGATTACTATTTTGAAAAAGGCCTTAAAACATAAAATGGAATTTGACTTTTTGTTTTAGAGATATTTGAGTTTTTGTATCTTGAATTTGAGGTTACTGATAATGTCTTAACTGGTTCCATAACGAAGGTAGATTACAATTGTTTCAATCAATTATGAAAATTTATTCAATATCTTCAAAGATAAGGAAGCAGTGCTCCTAAAAGTTCTAGTACCCGATCTGTCTCAATATAGCCTGACATAGCCAGCGTTCGTCTTTACCGAAGGTACTCCGCTCCCAATAAGCTAACAAGGAGATTAAAGACATCATGGGTATTGTGTGTCTTCAGGGCAGCTTAAAAAAGGACCCATAATCTGGTCCCAAATCGAGTTGTTTTGTTTTGGTGCTAAGCATGTGTCCATGGTATTCGCTGTCAAGGCCAGCATTTTTGGCGATGGTCACCACTTCTTGTGCCAAATTTGAAAAATTTCGCGGATAAATTCTCACAATATATCCTCGGTTTTGAGATCTCTTCTTCAGCGAAACAGTTCATAACGTCGCTAATTTGTGTTGTATAATTTGCATATTAAAAAGAACTTGAATTTCTCTGAAATTAACGATCACATTTCCAAAAGGTAAGGACCACTCTTCTTTAATTGGTAAAATAAGCAGCAGTCATTTCTATGCCATGGACAATTAAACACCAAACGGTGCCGGTAGATTGAAGAATTCCCGTCTTAAAAGCGTGGAAAGCCGAAGATAACAGAACTGACTAAGTAATTAAATGTCTTGATGATCTTAAAGTGGTCGTAAAAACGCTAAACAACAAATAAAAAAATTATTTTTAACAATTCTTGAGATTTTGTTGCCTTCAACGAGCTTCTCCTGCATTTGAAAAACACGCTTGTTCTTTTATTGTTTTGTTTTGTTTGTTTTTTTTTTTGGATGGGAACTGGGGACCCACATTGAATAACGAGTATTAAAAATTAAAATGGATGATTTTGAGATGTAACAAGAGAGTTCTCTCTGAAATAAAAAAACAAGCCTAAATTAAGCGGCCTTCGGCGTTTGGTCAAAGATGAATAATCTGAATTATCTTATCAGAGTGCTATATAATTGGAATCATTTAATTTTCGACAACTAGGTAATAAATATAATATGAATTTAATTTGCCGAACGCTGTTGCACCGCCATTATACATCCAACGAGATTTAAATTGGAAGAAATTTCGAGAAGGGAATTTTCCACAACAATGAAATGATCGAAAGCTCTCAAATTCAAGGTAGCGGTCATTTATTCGATGCAACCGTGGTAAGCGCAAATTTTTAACGACGTTTAATAGCTTCATGGAGAGTTTTATTGCTTACATTTGGTTACAGTTTCCCCCACAATGGCTTGAGAACCTGGATAATTTTCAATTTTGTTTTTTAATCGTAGGTTTGCGCCAACTACCTCAAAAACAGTGGGCTCTTTTATGTCGGGTCATTATAACATTATCCATCACAGAACGAGTTAAAATACTCGTTCTTTAAAGAGTCGAACATAGACTGGCCTATAAGTACATTTTTGGTACATCGTCTCTGAAGTAATTAAAATCAGCAATTTCTCTACACAGCATCAATCGGCAAACAAGTGTTGAGAATCTTTATAGACGAACTTATCGGCTAGAAGGTGTCATCAGTTGTCTTGATCGATTTACTGGGATATGTAGGGTATCCAGAAGGGAGATTGCAAACCAGTCAGCCTGATCTCGCGAGATCGATAGCGAGTTTATAAATTAACCTGTCCTTTATAGACTGAGCAACTTTTTACGCATGTGTATCGCGATTTGGTTTCACTTGTGCGAGACGATTTCAACTGGAGGTCAATTCCCTGCGAGACCTTTATTAATTCTAAAGGATTTTACATGATCTTAGCATTGAGAGATATTGTGAGATAGGTCGTAAGATAGAATTATTTTCGGTGAAGAGCGAGTAATGTTCATTAACGAGTTGTTCGGAATTATAACGTGCTTTACTCTTTTCATTTGACTTGAAAGCTGTCATGATGTGAGATTTTCAATATCACAATGAAAGAATAAAAACTGATTATAGTAGCTTGAAAAGTGAAAATAAACCATGCTAACCATGAACTTTATTATCAACAAAAAATTCTGTCATCAATTATCGGTGAGTTAGGAACCTCTATCTACAAAAAGCGCAGTAGTTGAAGAAATGTTATGCCAAAATTTTTTACCGTTGATCACTCAGTTATTAGAAATCTCTTTCTCCGTTGAACACGACAAATCTACTGCGGTACCAAATGAAGCCGTTTCAATGGTTGCAGCAGAATGACACCTGTTCCTATGAATGAAAATACTGATGTTTTAAATTCACGTTTCACTGATCACCAAATCGATCACATCACGCGAATCACGCGGGACATACTGTTGTTATGTCTTCACATCTGTTATTTTCATGAAAAACGCAACAAGGATGGAAAGTGAGGAGTTTTTTGAAGGATCAGAGCCAATATGTGGCTCTCAGCATGTGCATACTGATCACGGAAAGAAAAATATTAGCATTATTCACATTATCATCCAGACGAAGCAAATTTTACCGCGAGGAAAGAACCGGAAAATATTTTGCCGATGACTTCAGTGGAAATTCTCGCGATTACCTTGCGATTACCTGTTAGTCTAGTCCTTTTCATCTAAATCGTGAGACTATATGAAAGCCCTTCTTTTGTTTTAATGACTGTATTTTATTATTTCTTTTGTTTACGGGAAGATTGGCCATCCGATGGCCAGCGCAAAGATGAGCCGATGACTCAACAAAACAGCGTCAAGTTTGGATTTTCTTTGCGGTTTGAACAAATTAAAAAAACTTGCCCTCTAGATGTTTCGAAACGCCACGTATGATTTGCGAAGTTCAGGAAAGGATTTTTAACTTATCCTAAACTTTTTATATGTTTACAGGTTAAATTAACAAATTTGACATTCGTCATAAATTCATGGTTCAATATTTCCATATAAAATAGTTTGTTTTTCGAACTCAACAAAGAGCAGTTTCAACTCAGTTTTCTTGTCCGTAAAGCGAATATTCATATGCATGATGTGTTTGTAGTTTGTATGTACTAAAAGTTTCATATAGATTGGCATTGATAAATTGTCGGTGTCACACATTCTCAACTAAAATGGAATTTAGCGAATTCAAACAATTGAAGGTGATATATTTTCCATAACGATCGAATTTTACTGATAGTTTTACAAAATTGGTTACATCTTATGTCTGAGCAGCTGTGAAACAATGAAGGGATGCGCTAAGACCAAAATGATGGCATAATTATTCACTAAGAAGAACAACTCATCTGGTTTTTGAAATGTAAATATTATCGTTTCCAATTTATCGAAAGTGCATTAGAAAGCTGTGTTCCTTATTGTCAAAACTGAAATGTTTCTAACCCGGCTAACGAATTAATTATTTTTTTTATTTGCGTTAAAGACAACGCTTCATGTCAGTAGGGGAAACTGTGTCGCCATATTTTAGAAAAGGGTGATTTTTTGCATAAATCATACAGTTTTTTCGCCAAAAGTGACATGATGATGAGGGCATCAAGCGTTTAAGACTTGAGCTTTTGTTCAAAATGTCTTGGTTTCATTGAAAACACCACGGGAGACTGCCAAGTTTTCGAACCTTCGGTTTCTAGAAACCATTGAGGATTCGAACTTTACGTGTCTTCCCTTGCTGTGTGAAATACTTAAGTTTGACTTGAATTTAATAACCCTCCGATGATTAAAACGATTCTCAGTCCTTTTCCTAAGTCAGGAGGCTTAAAACACGGTCTCCACTGAACTGAAAAACGAAGCATGAAGTTTAATTGTTCACCGTAATACAAGTTATTTTTCTATAGTTGTTTAAACGTCTTTTGACGGAGTGTGTATGCATGCTATTGACGAATAACTTGCCTGCTATAGGCAATTCTTCAAATATACAAAGCATTTAGTTCAGCTTGTTTGGTACAAGCCATGAAACTAAGCTTAATGTAACTTAAGCAAAGGAAGGTTAATGTTATGTCACTTATCATCGATACGTACCTGGCTTTCACATTTCTTGGCGGTTCTTTAACATGGAAAGAGAGACAGGCAGTTTGCGTTCAAGTTTGAAAAGTGTCCAAAAACACTTTAATCCATCAGTTTTATTAGTTGAATTTCGATGTTGAGCCAATTGAGCCAATACGTCAAACAAAGCGCTCTGATTGGTCCATGAGTAAAAGGTACTGAGTCATGTCCCACTCATTAAAGGAAAATAAAAGGCGTATGACACCTGCTGTGATACCAAACATGTCAGAATATTTCCTAAAACACCTTACGGAACCCTTTCAGGTGTCCTTGGTTCCAAAACGTCTCTTTTTAGAAAGGTTTATCGTTCCCTAAGGCTGCCGTGAATATCTGTCAATCATTTGCATGACTCACATGGAAAGTAACGTAGAATAATTATGAATGTTAAATGTTTCATATTAATTTTCTCGAAGAAAAAAAAAAAAATTCATCAAAAGGCATTAGTCGACTGTAAAATTCCAATCGCAGGTGGCGAGATAATTCAGTGTTCTGCTGTATATTTACGGCATCAAAAATTCAAATAACTTTAAGTTGAAAATAGAACATTATTGATCCACAGCCTATCCATCTGTCACTGTATAAGAGGACTTTTAGTCTTGTCTACCTTCGCCTTGAATCTATTGATCAATTATTAATTGCATGATTTCTGTCGCCATTGAGATAGCAGTTAAGTCCAAAGTTGACAATCGCTCTGAGAAGAGGGTTAATATCAGTTACAAAGGACATATATCCTAACAAAATCAAAGAGGACTCCTGAAAAAAAGCGGTATGTAGACATGACCATCGTGTAATGTCAGGATGCGTTTATATGATCCTCATTTGTGAAATTTTAAAAAATGGCTTTATCATTGTATACGTTAATTTTGTTAATGAGAAGCATTTTTAATGAAGGCTGTTTAAAAGGTTTTTACTAGTCCTAATGTCCTCAGTTTAGAGAAGATACAGTTTCTAAGTAAACCCTGTTGTCATCTACTTGTTAGCAAATGAAATAGTTTGCTTCAAAATGTACATGTTTTCAATCACCAAAGCTACAGAGAAACTAATTCATTCACCAATAATCCGGCTTTAACTGGTGGCAGGACACCTTAATACTTTCATCGTCAGCAAATTATACGTTTTCTAATTGGTGAAATTGTAAATTCTTAACCTCTCAAGTGATTCAGCTAATTCTGACCACTCGTTTCTCTTGTTTATTAGAGGCTTCAGGTGATCAAGGTTCCTTTGAAAAGTGCAACAAGTTTACTCAAGTCAACAATTTTTTTTGATCTTTCACGACCCTATCATAATTACATATGCGAAATGCTTATTCACCTGGGCCCGGTTGTATAAAGGGCGGATATCTTACAGGTAGCTTTTCAAGTCAATCAGACACGCTATAAGAGAGAAGTTGCCTCAGTGTCCTTGTTAAACATGTCCATGATATCTGGTTCTCGAACCCAGAGATGTTCTTTAGTTCCAAGGAACATTCTACTGAATTTTCATTCATTTTAGATGCGTAAATTAATGTTTATGCAACTGACAAATCTATTGTCTCACTTAAAAGGTAGTTGCGTCACGTTACGTTTCGTGTCTTAGCGCATGAAAATAAGACAAAACATAGCAGAAAAGTGTGAAGGTCTTCACACGTTGAGACGTAAATTTGTAACTCGGAAGTGGGTGCGTTGCGGTACAAACTGCCATGCCACACCACGTAGAGTTTATTGGAAGCTTTAGAATCCTTTTCAAACATGGCCCATGCACGCACTTACGGTCTTATTGATAAAAAGTATCGAAGTGTGCTACGAAACATTGCTTTTTCAAACTCAAGGCTATGTTATTTTACTGAACCTAATACAAATTCATGTTCCACTTCTCAATTAAAATGGCGGTGTTTTCAATTCACTCGGTTTAAAAAAGGATTTGGAACTCACAAGAATTAGCTTTGTTGCAGAAGTTCAGAGATACCGAAATATATGGATCAATTTCCCCGTCTTCGGGAAACAGCCTTTATAGTCAGAAACCGTGGTTTGTGTAATCGCATGAATGTTGATTATTCTATCGACTTCAATAACCGTCAAACTCATTATGAAAAGGCAACTATTTGGAGTTAATCTCCGTGGCTTTAGGCCAATAGACTTATGACTTTTTCTACATTACAAGTGCGAAATGAAACTTAACTTGCTATGAATTTAACGATTTTTTTGGCGCTCTTTGCCGGAAGCACTTTCGTCGAATTGTATCTCAGAGTTAGTCTGTTTCTCATTTTCATTTGAGGGAAATAAGATGACTTTGGGATGGGATGGTTGAAAATGGAGAAGAGTCACGAGGATGATAAATGACAAACCTCGAAACTTATAAATATACAGAAGGAAACGAAGCCTAGGCGAGAAATATGTGCAACTAAGCCGAATTTTAAAAGTTATTAACTGGTGAGTTTCATTCGCTGAAAAAATCGGTTTTTCTTGCCGCAAAATCAGAATCGAGCGTGTATACACTTTGTAGCACTTAAACCTAGAGGAAATTTGCCCTGGGATTCACTAAATGTGATTATTAAGCGAGGAAAATGGGAATATTTTAAATATTTTGTTTCACGACTCGTTTAACGATACAAGTGTTGAATTTGTTTTGATTATATCGATAAATACTAGTTGCTAATAGCCATAGGTTTTTGTCGAAAAAAAATATTCTCAGTTAAAATGAGAGAAATACTGAATGTTTTTTTTTTAACCAAAACTATTTACCTAGTTTTGATGAGATCATTAAGACTAAAGAGCGGAAAATGGAAAGTTTAAGTCGCGTTCGCTGAATCGAGCGCGTCGCGATCCTAGAAGTTACAATATATCCATTTCACCGTTGCATTTTTCCAGTCGTCAATTTAAACCGAAAAGTCAATTTTATTGAAGCCTTTTTCCATGGTCAATTCGAAGTAGGTAAATAATTGTAGTGTGGTTGTTGTCGCGCTTGTGAGATAAGTTTAAATAGAGAGAATTGGAGGAAATCACCTTTGACCAAAGCATTTGATAAAATTAGGCGTTGGCATGGAAACAGCAGTGGAAACATTGTTCGTGATAGCAAGGCAAACAATAGGAGTAAAATATGTGAACGGAAAAGAAAATGCAAAATAAGCTAAAGCAAAACACACCTGCTCATATAGAGCTGAAACGAGAGATGGAATTATATGTTACGCCTTGGTTCTCGTGTTTACCTAGTTCTAAACGATAGCTATAATTTTATCGCGGTAACCCGCTAAAATGGCGGCGCTGAATGCAGCGATCAGACAGAAGCGATTCACACAAGTGAAGTTGCTACTTGATATCGGGGTTGATGTTAACCAGCAGGATTCTGAAATGAGGCGGACGGCTCTAATGCAACTTTGCTTTCTCGACGATGAGAGCAAAGCGGCCAAATATGTCCGAGTATTACTTGAAAGAGGAGCGAAAGTCGGTTTGAAAGACAAGGATGGACTCACCGCTCTGTCGCACGCGTGTAAACTCGGACTGGAGCAATTAGTTTCGATTATGCTTGAGGAAGCAAGTGATTTTGATCTCAATTCGCAAGATAAGCTCGGAAATACAGCACTCCATCATGCCGCGTTGTCAGGCAATTTCGTGGTCTTAAATCTTCTGCTAAACAAATTAAAACGATTTAAAATGAACGTCGACAAGTTGAACAAAAGAGGAGAAACCCCCTTGATTGTCGCGTCTAAGTCAGGAAATTTCTTTTGCGCACGAATTCTCGTTTCAGAAGGTAAAGCTTCCAAAGGAGCGCGCGATTACATCGAATTTAAAACTGCTGAGGAATGGGGAAGGACGAAAGAAAGTCTCCGCTCCGCATCCAAATCGCCGCTTTTCCGAGTTATGCAGCTTCCGCCTCGAATGTCTTTAGATTCTCAGAGCCGAGGATCAAAGGATGATGTTCATTTACCAAAACAGAAAGATAATAAGAGGCCGAACACCGCACCAGGGCACTTATTAAGCCAACCAAGTGAGAGAACTCACAGGGAAAACCTTCGAGATCTCTTCCGCGTATACGAAGAACACGTCTCCGGCGCTTTTCGAATCGGAGTTAAGCCCAGACCTGTTATTGTGACCACAGAATCAGTTTGCAGCATTAACGACGGTACTAGTCAAGATGATGATGACATTTGCGAGCTACCTCATCCCTCGGTTTCGCCTATTTCTTTTCAACCCGTCGGTCGACGCTTTAGCATCAGCAAAGCAGGCAAACTAGCTCTCAATACAAACACCGTTCTAAGAAGGGCTTCCCTGGCAACGGTGTCAACAACTGGCAGCCCGAGTAAACCGTTACAACGGCGAGGATCTCAATCGTTTGGCCCAAATAATGGTAGAAGGCTTTCTCAATCAATGCCTCTGTCGCCGAGAGTCAGAAGAGGCTCGATGAACGTGATGAGTAAGATCACGAAAGTGCCCTCATTGAATGTAAACAAAGAAAAGAGCGAATCGAAAAACACTTTGGCTTCAACTGATTCTAGCTCTACACCTTCGAGACCATCCATCTCTGTTAACTCAGACAAACTGTTTGCCAAGCTTCAAACTTTAGCCGAAGAAAGTGACTCTGAAGGGGAGGAAAACGGTAGCGAGATTTTACATAGAAGTTCACCAGCAAACCTTTTTTCACAAATGTGACTGCATTCTTGCCATGCGGATAGAAATTAAAAAATAACTGTAAATTAACGAAGTCAAATTACAGCCAAACAAGGCTAACAAACGGAAAATGTCTGAGGTGTGAGATTATTTGTTTCAGAAGAGAATTTATTTCAAAAAAAGGAGAACAAATTATGTGTTTCGCCGACTAATAGTAAAAGTGACAAGTATTGTTTGATTAGGGAAGATTTAATTTGTATTGCTTTTCTTCGTATTTTAACCATGCAAATACAATGCTGGAGTCGTTAGAAGAAATTTATTGAAAATAGCCAAACAATTTTTCAAAGCTGTTGAGTGAAATTCAGCTTTTAATAACTGCAAGTAAAATTACCGGTAATCAGAATCGATCGAACATCGTCGACGTTCGTTTTGAATCGACTGTGCTAATCGCGGTGATCGGATAAATTGGTGCTCTCATTGAAATCATCGGGGAACTTACGCGATAATGCGTTTTCCATAATATCTGAGATACCACATTTCATTTTGCCATTTTAAAAATAAACAATTCGCGGCTTCTCGAGCGGTATTCACTTACTCCTTCAAGACACCCGACATGTTTTTCTTTTTTTATCATGTGTACACGGTTGGTTTTTTGGTTTTATTATGTTCTAAGACTGTCTTACTCACTTTTTCGTCAAATCTGTGGCAGTTGAGACCAAACGTTGCCACCACTGTCACCTTAGAGCACATTGTTTTGCTGTTACATACCACTTAGCTCTTGTAGAACAGACCGATAAAAAAATATTACGTGTTGACCGACCACCTGTCTGCTTTTTATTAAGATACACTAAGAGAGAATGAACCGCTAACCTTACTTAAATACACCAAGTTAACGTGTAGTATTTTGATACAGTGGTTTGATCGATTCATTGTAAAAGCTGTAGCTCTGACTAACCAAGTTGTCATAGGTGTACTGCAAACTTTTGCCCTCCTGAAATATTGTGTAAAATAAGTGATTCTAGACTATGAGCGGTCCATCCAAGAAAGAAAAAAAAAAACAAGAAAACAAGAATATTGATTTTAGCGCTGGGCATAGAAACATAGGAAGTGAATCGCACCACTCTTAGAATTCCGCATGAGGTTGTGTTAGGTATATGAAAAGCACCTCCATTTTTTTCAGAAATAGAGACAGAAACACATCCACGAAGCCACAGTAAAACAGTCTTGGGATGGATGCCTAAAAAATTAAAGTTTTTTACGGGGATGCTCAGCATCAAGGTTTTTAGCCAGGCTTTATTTTATCTTCAGTTTGAGTACGATTAGATGAAACAGGCTACAGATACCACATTACAAATAGTTAATGATAGTTTTTCTTGCCCTTTTCTTTGTCAAAATCGTTAGGAAAAGGAGTCTTCACTTTTGTGAGGAGTATATTCCCGTATAACATAAATCTATTTCTACTATCAAAAATTGTTGCTATCTGATTGGCTGCGCTACTCGCTATTTACTCAGTGATAGATAATGAGTTAAATAAGTAGACATTATTCTGCAAAAACATAACTTGAGCCTGTGTCTTGTTGATAAGTTTTGAACGATTAGTAGATTTACACTACCACCCGATAGAAGTTTAAAGTTAATAAATCTAACCATAAAGCAGTCTGAAGTAGAAAAAAACTCCTTTCCCACCCCCTGAGGGTACAAGTCTAATACTAAAGCGCTATTTCTGACATGTCCATGTTTCCCAGGCTCCGCGTGTATTGTCGTGTTTGCATCTGATACTATAAGGGCAGTGTCGACATAGACTTGAACACCTTTTGTCGTCCACTGAGTATTTCTTACCACTGCTACTTTTAAATATCAATTTACATCTGGGCTGATACTTCTTGTGGCAGCGACACTGAAATTTAACAGCAGAACAACGGTGTCAGGAGGGTCTGGATGGGATTGACCTTCAGCCGTAAAGTGGCAAAAAAAATTAGTCGTTAGCTGTAAACATTGACAACTTCTAATCGTTAGTTTTGAAAAAAAAGTTAGCTGTGAAAATTTTTCTTCTAATCGCAACGGAAAGAAATGAACCGCTAGCCGTAAAATGGTCGAAATTCTGTCCGTGAGCAGTAAAAGCCATCACCCTAACGACATACTCTGTCAGATTGATTCATTGAAAAACCCATAACATTCTCAAAGTGAAATTAAACTCTTTCAATCTCATGGAACAAAATAATACAAAATTACTGTTGGATCTTGGAGAGATCACCTAGAATATGTTCCTCCTCCCCAACCTCCTCGCCTCCCCTCGCCCAATATGAAATCAACTGTAACGATCAGAAACAGTGAAACAACAAGTGCATAGCTTTTCAAGAAGTTTCTCTCACTAAGACTAGTTGTACTCAACGTATCAATGAATTTATCGATTTTACATGTTCATAAACTCTTAGCAGTATTGGAAGCCAGATTTATAGGCGAAACGTGTAGAGCCACCCACGCAAGCCTCTGTAAGCCTCGATCTCATGTTCTCTACGCAGACCCTTTTAACCGAGTATATCTTTTTGAAGTTTCTTTATGACGCAGAATCATCACTCATCAACAAAGAAATTTAACCAAACATTTCCTTAAAGATGACTGTATGAATAAAATCTTATACATCCAATGTTGTTCCTTTTTCAGGCTTAAAAAGAAGTGAAGACAGACAGTTCTTAGCTTGTTTTCGAATCTTAATTAAAAAAGGACACAAACTCTCTTTTTTAAAAAAGAACCACAGTCTGATTCTTAGCTGCATTTTTCATCGTTTTTGCATGTTATGATATAACGGCAAGCGTCATCATTGTTTTCTGGAATTTTAGACCAAATTCCAGTCAGAAGAAGTGTCACTTTTCTCGCCTTCTTCCAATTTAGTTTAATCATGAAAAAACGTGATAATATGGTTGTTTCTTCTCCCAATTTGAAAAATTTGTTAGACTCCATCGAGAAAAGCAATCCAATACGTATCCCATTTTTTCCCCTCCTATTTAAGAGGCTACAGCCAGCTTATGACATACAGCCGGTCGATAAATGAAAGTAGTTTCAAAAATATCTTATGATGTGATCATTTACACTGTGTTGTGAAACACGATATGTTGTAGTGCGCTTTGCGTATGTTTAGCACAGCTACGTTTGATTAAAAATCGGATGAAAAGCAATCAACTGTGAAACATCAAACAAGTGAAACACACTTCCAGAGAAATTTGGGTGAAAACGAAGAACAGTACGCCATGCAGAGCTAATAATAAACAGCAACAACAGGGAGATTTGCTTATTAAATCAGTGACCTGGGAAAACGGTCCTGGAGGTGTCTCTCACGCTTGATCTCCTACGTTAAAATTTTAGATTTTGTCTTAAGTGGTTTTTAAAGATAATCTGACAATAATTTCGTGGTTGGTTTCAATTTATTACAAAAATTAAGGTAAACGTGATTCATCTTTGTTACTCACCGCCGGGAGACTCGTTCTTCTCCTCCGCCAACTAAAACTCAACGAGATTTGCAGTGAAAGAATCAAAAACATCACCAGGAACCACTTCCATGCACAAACCATAGTTGGATATTCGTACCTGTTCAGGATTAAAATGTTGTTGATTAGTTATGAGGTATACAAATCTGGATCTTTGAAATCAATTTCCTATCAGTAAGCATAGAGAAGAAATCCATCAAACTAGATGTACTTGCCTGTTTTGAAAAATGAAAGGAAAATCCAGGTTATACAACCAATTTCAAGTTTCTTTGAAATGCACCGACCAATACGTTGCTCAAGTAGTTAATTAATACTGTAATATGAGAAAACAAAAATACTCAAGGTCGAAACTTGTATTTTTTTGTCGCTATGAAATAACTTGAAAAATCGACAATTATTACCAGAGAGTCATGGCTGAATCATTTCCTTTTCGGACAAACAAAACACTAACCAAAGAAATAGCTACTTTTATGGCCGAAATAACCTAGTAGATGTGTGTAACCTTGGCTTCGAAATGTATTTCACAAGAATGATCTTCAACTTTACCTAAAAAAGTACATTTGTGACGTCATTACAGTTACTTGCACTGATTATAAAAGAGATTTTTAATTTCGTTTGTGTAATTTTCTACTAGAACTTCAATAGGTTTTCTTTGTGTGAAATCGGTATTATTTTGACTCTGTTATTGCGAGTTTTTTTTGCCGCTAATACACGCGCACGTACAGTGATTTCTATCGTCATGACCTGTTAATATTTCATTCCTAACAAATAACAAGACTTACCTGTTCTGCGAAAGGGCATGATCGTTTTGGCTAACAGGCTCAATTAGTTTTCGTAATTGCGTTTTGTCTGAGCCAATAGCAATAAGAACTGTTTTATAATTTTTTGTTACAAGTAATTGCCTCTACGTGAAAACAAAATCTTTTCTAGCCTCTCCCCTCCCCCGTTCTCCTCTCCCCTCCCCCGTTCCCCTCTCCCCTCCCCCTTTCCCCTCCCCCCTCCCAATTGTGGACATTATATCGCCCAGTGCCATACGCGCCGTGATTGGTTTATTGAGCGGGCCGCTCAGCAAAGTGAGTTTTCCTTTTTTCGACGGGCCAAATTTAAATTTAAAATATCTTGGTTTCTGCAAATTAGTATGTTAATGTTGCCAACGACTGACTAAAAATTTTGGTTCGCTTTCGATGTTTGTCAGTCATTTCAAGCCATTCTGCGAGGCTTTAAATCAAAACTTGCCAACCTAAGGATCTCTCATGCTACACGTTTCGCCTATAAATCTGGCTTCCAATACTGCTAAGAGTTTATGAACATGTAAAATCGATAAATTCATTGATACGTTGAGTACAACTAGTCTTAGTGAGAGAAACTTCTTGAAAAGCCATGCACTTGTTGTTTCACTGTTTCTGATCGTTACAGTTGATTTCATCACACGTACTTTATACACGATATTGTGTAGAAGACAAAGTTATCAAAATTATGAACAACCTATTATTCATTTACCAAATCTACCCTCAATCTACCCTCAATCTACCCTCAATATAAATTTCTTGTTGATCTCCAATTTAACAGAACTGCAAAGACATTGTGCAAAAGTCGCAACATAAAACATATAATGTGTGGGTATGTTGTAATGTGTCACTACTTGTCCAAATAGCTGCGATTGTGACGGAAAACAATAACCCTCAACTGCCCAATATCAATATTCATATTCTCTGTACTTTCTTCTTTACATTTCATGTTACTAATAAAGAGAATTTGTTTGACAATCAGGAGTTTCTTCGATTGGCTATTATTTCCTACATTCTCATGACCTTTACATTTGATTCAAGGGCGACAGTGTAAGGAGAAATTAGAAGCCAATCACTCTTTGGGGTTGAGGGGTTGATGTCCACATTTGAGGAGAGAGAGTCAGAGAATGAACGCCAAATTGCATACTTGCAACGAGTACAGTCTAAGTCAAAAAGGTATCATCTTGTAGTCACATTTACGTACAGTTTTAAATGCGTACTTTATTACTAGCGATTCACTAAAACAAACATTTATGACAAATGCCGAATTACTAAATACGAACTCGAGAGACCAAAAAAAATCAAAAAACAAACAAAACGTACAAATGCGATAGAAATTAGCGAAAATACACAAGAAAAAAATAGAATACTTACAAAATCTGTGCGGCAACTCAGGAAAAACACAAAACGCTAAGGTGCAAGACAGGAATGCTAACTTTTATACTAATTTAAACCAGAAGAAAATACAGCAAATGAACTTACGCAACTAACAATAAACGACTACGTAACGCGACGCCGAGAACAAAAAACTACGAATATTTTGAACAACAGCAACAAAACCAAACTAAACGTGATGAAATAACTAGAATAATCAGACAACAAAGAATTTAGAAAAAAATCGCGGAAGAATTCAATTCTTGTGGCTACACATCTAGTTTTGGCCGATCTTTTTTTGATTTTATTTTTAGGCTTATTTGAAACCTGAGACGAAAATTGCCGAAAAATGAGATTATTTGTTACGATGTTGTGATATTAATCATTTTCTTTATTCCTGTAAAACATTACGTGCATCATCAAGGGCATCATCCCTAAAATGGCACTACTCAGTGCCGACATCAAAATATCAACTTAAAGATAGTGGATAACGTAATATGAGACTGAGAAAACAGGAAAAACTATTTGAACCATCGTCATTGCCAACTTTCTCTACGTCTCATGTACCCAGATTATACCATACAAGTCTTGTTTGATGTTTTTAAAAGTGATGTTTAGGCTTATACCCTACGAATAATTTGTGTACGGTATTTATAGATAGCTTATTGACTGGGTATTGATCATTTTTTCGGTGAATTTAAGAGGTGGTCGGCATAAAATCAGTAGGAAGGATAAGTCAAATGTGTGGTAGTCTGAGATAAATTACCTAGCTCAGTATTTCTATTACTTTACGAAATAATCCATTAGCGAAGAAAGACTACTAAGGCCCTTTGAAGAAGAAGAAAATGACAGCTAACTAGCGATTGCGCTCTGAGCTTTTATGTGCAAGATCAGAGAATGAATTCTTCGAAACGATAAAATAATTCATACCTGAGCACTGTGGTTAATTAACTTGGCCAAAAAGAGGTCAAGCTTTTGAACAGCTTCTGAACAGCGTAGTCTTCAAGAACTTGAAAGTTACCGAACAAACTATCGATATCTTCTACGCGTATACAAGCCAGCGTTACCTTCCTTAACTAAGCGCGGAGTCATTTAGATTTAATTACAATCTCAGGTTGAGCATCATTTGTCAAAAAAAGTCCCTGTAAACCTATAAGGAGCTTAACCACCCACAATTAACCCTCTTTGTTCCGAAACATTTTAGGAGTGGCGATCAATATAACTTTGTGGGTTTCTTTTTTTATTACACAGTTGCCACAATTGACGTCACTCTTAAACCACACCTACTGAGTACCTGTAATGCCATTATGTTCGCCCAATATAATATCACCCAACGTTAGTGTAGAATGGTCTATTCACCATCTTTTATCATAATTTTTTCAGTTTATCACTGGTTTCAGTGTTCTGTTGTCGCAAAATGACACAATTTAAAACAATGCAAAACCAAATGCTATGTAGGATATATCAACTGAAAGGAAACCAGGAACTTTATCGTCTTGTTACGAGCTGGAGGGAACCACACTTTATTTTCCTTACCTTTTTATACATTTTTTCTCTCTTGTTACTGACAAGGAGTGAAGCAAACCGAATGAAAAAAGTTTTCAAGCAACGGTTGTTCTCCTAGTTTTGCTAACGTTAAGTCCGACTATCTTAGAAAGAACAAGCATCAGACCATAAGCCCTACGTCACAAAATTTAGCGACAATTCTAGGAAAAAAAAACAAAAAAAAATCAACCTTTCGTTTTCTTCCTGTGTGTGAACATCTGAACGTGTGAAGCTTAATTCCTTACGGGACTCAATTTATTTTCCTTGCCCTACTCTTGTAACATGACGAAAATAGCCTCTTTGTTTCATGATCGAGCCAAAAAAAATATCATATCTCTCGTTATAGGAATTTCTGGCGTTTGGTCGCATAACGTGGACCAGTAAAGTGTCTGAACTTTAAAACAACACCATTCTAATAAGAATTTCCAAATTGTACATAGAGACTGTACCCCAGGGTGGTTCCGGTTTGAGAAAAAAGGATAATTTCTGACCTCATTTGCCTTCTTCCCTCACCCGTCGAAAACCGAGTGGCCTTGAAGACGAGGTTGATTTTGTATAATCGGTTTTCTGCGTATGCTTAGCCATGTACTATTGAAAAACAAAAAAGATGTCCCAAAAGATTCCCAAATTTTTATTTTCCTAACTAGATATTACGAAAGTTAAAACTGAACTTCAGCTATACACCAACATGTTGGTTTTTGTCGACTAAACCTATTCCTACATGAATTTTTTTGGAGAGATTTAGCTTGCGAGCAAGCCTTCATTTATGGCGCTTAAACACGAGCGTTTCTTCGCCCGCGGGAAAGTATAAGACCTTGAGGAACACGAGCCCGTGAGAGGTCTGTAAAGGGGTCCAGCAATCATTACTAGTGCCAGACCCCCAGTAAACCTATCTCCAACTCGTCTCCATTCTTCCCGCGGGAGAAGAAACGCGCATCCGGCAGCTCTAATAATAGGAGTCTGCTCAGGGGCTAATGAAATCGAATTTTTAAAAACCGAAAAATTGACATTGAAAAAATTTCGTTACACAGTTAGAAACACTTGGTTGAGGAACAAACGACAATCAAGTAGTGTTGACGTCTATAGAATGACTGACAATGATACCACTCGAAAGCTCTTTCTTGTGCAGTTAAAACTTAGCTAACGTTTCTCGTGGGAAACGCACTCTAGTAAATGTGTTTTTACACACAGAGACAGCAACAGAACGTGTAAAACGCCGGACAGAATGACAAATAACATTTACACTGCAAAATTTGCATGACTCAGAATGCTGGCATACATCTATAGACGTATGTCTTATGATAATCATTGAATTCAGTGTACAGGCAGTGACAGTGCAGTCCACAATTACAGTCTTTATAACTTCTGTCAAATCTTCCGTTCTTCTCAATCATGCGACAGATTTTCGCATCACAAACCTCAGAACACTGTGGGAGTTAAATGAAAAGAAAAGGTTTTGTTAGTAACATTGCTAGAACGAATGTCATGTTGATGTTCATCAGACTTAATGTGTTCCCTTTTAAACTGTTCAATGGAGTTAATCTTCACGGGTATAAATACATGTTGGGCGGGGGTAAAATGAAGCTTAAGGAAAGATCCAAACCATATTTATACCCATGGAAAAAAAATTTGTGTCGTTACTCGGGGCTGGAAGAGGAATCATGAGTCATGAATCATAGCGGTTGATTAAGAAAGAGTTGTAAATTTGCGTGTTAATAACTATGGAATCACAAAAATTACCAGACGTGAAAAAAAAAATTGTCAGGAAATCATGAGTAATTGGGCAAAAAGAAAGCACGAATCACAAATCACGAATCACGAATCACGAATTTCGAAAGTCAAATGATACCGCTTTCACCTCCAATTCTCACCTTCCCGTTTTTTGTCTACCCTAAAACTGAAGGACGTAGAAAGTTAATGGTATCTGTTTGAATGGGCTATGGTTAATTCACCACCACTGAGAGTCAAATCGCCACCGGTGGCGATTTCACTCTAGCGTTACGTTTAGCCTTTCTTATGAAACTTCATAACACTACATCAAATGAAAGCCAAATTGCAATAGGATATTGCGAAATTAGAAGCGCGAACAAATATAACGAAAAGAACTCAGAATATATGCATAGCGTCTCAATTATGGAACTTTAGCCGTTTAATTAAATAAAGCATTTTGATATCACGAAGATTGATCAGTCTACGTGCAAGGAAACCAGATGAAACCAGATAAAACTTACATAAGATGAAAACTAAAATGTAAACATGTAAGATTCAGTGAAGGGCAAAAATGAACCACTGTACAATCCATCATTATTTGAATTGAGAAAACATGTCACTGCATAATTTCTTAGAAGATATGTCAAAGACTTGGGCTTCGTGCTTCACCATGGGTTCCAAACACCAAACACCATCTGTTTCTTGGTGTCTGGAATCGGTGATGATTACTTCTCGATTTGTGGGCTTTGCAAGACACAGTTTTTATAAGACAGTAAAGTTAATAAACCTCGAAAGAAAGAATTTTGAAGTGAATTCGAAGCGCCTTTAGGTCAATTTGAGCACTTGTTAACTCATCGATCGCCCCCTCAGAATTAGAGAAATTTAACAGCCAAAATTTCGTTCGGCGTTTCGGGAAATACTTATAGGGCTGTGCTCCTTGATCAAAAAGTCTGAAAAAGTTTTTAGAAATCTAGAGAAAGACGATAATACTTCGTTCTGCGACGATATTGATCGAATAATCAAACGAATGCGGCCGTCGGAGGGTACATCGCTGATATAGGATTTATTGTTCTAATAAATTCAAAGTTTGATCCGTGTGCAGTAACTCCTAAAGGACTCCAAGCCGCTTTCTACAAAATTTCGCTGTGTTTGCGCGCACTCTTAACTTTGCATCATCAAACCAAAAAAATGAATAAACTTCAAGATCTAGGCTTTCATATGATACAAGTTTCATTAGATTTGATTACGAATTGTGTTCATAAAAACGAAACTCGATCGTGTTAAAGGTCACGTCGATATTACTTGTGCTTAAGGTGATTCCTCAGAAAAAAAGTTATCGAACAATTTGTTTTAAACTTTCGCAATGTACCACTACTTCTTAGCCTTTGATGTACTTTTCATACGATTTCATAAACATCGGCGAAAATCACTCGGATCAATATCAGTACCCCTTCCCTAACCCAACAACAGTCTATTGATAACTCAGTGGTGGCGGATTGACCGGATTCCGTCTAAAGTTCTTACCCATGCATCATCTTGATAAACTGAAGACCAGTGAAATACTTTTTCCTTGAGATTTTTCGGTGCACGTTTGAAGAAATACGGCGACAGTCCTCGGATTTCACCCGCTTCCAAGTGGGCCAGCAAAACTAGTAATAGACACTGGAATATTTTGCGAAACATCCTTAAAAGGAAAAAAAACAATCAGGGATTTCGTATTATTTATCGATAAAAGGTAAAAAAAAAACAAACAAACAAACAAAAAGAATTTTAAACCAAACTTGCCGACCTAAGAACTTGCGAAACTCAAAATTTCTGGTTAGGAGGATTATGACATCAATAGCGTGCGGTAGACATTTCCAGACAATGGGGGCATGAACAAGGCGTGGCAGACTTTCCAGACTTTCAAGAACAATGTAATTGCTCGATTTCTTAATTGAGGATAAACTTAAATTTGATATCCAAATTGGTTTACTCAAACGAATGCAAAAATTACCTCCCTTTTAAAGGCCTGCGTGACCTTTTAAACTTGAGGTGTACCTTTTAAAAATCTCAAAGGTTCCATAAAACTGGGCTTGCTAAGGTTGATTCGACCAGTTATAGACTGAAGTTCTAAAATCCTGGTTAAGCCACTGGGCCTTCTAATTTGTTAGGAGGTCTCGCCCGGCTGTAGATGCTTCAAATCAAGTTTTCTAGTCTTAGCAAATCCGGTCTGGCTTTCTGTCCACGACGATTCGTTTCTTTCTTTGCAGAGCTAACAACTCGGAAAATGCGAGCTAGATTGTGATGCGCAGACGGCTTAAAACGAAGCTTGTCTCCGAGCCAACGAGCTATGGAAAAATCTTTTACGCCTTTTAGGCGCCGAAAAATTATAACAATTCTGAACCAAGCAATCCGCTCTATGAAAGTTTTAATAATGGTCACTTATTCCTGACGAAGATAAGGAAATATTGACGTATACAACCAAATAAAAAAAGATGTGTTATAAAAGTAATCAGCACTCTACTGACGTACTGCCAACAAGTTACCGACGCGCTACGGGCGGTGACCGACACGCTGGTAGACAGTTCGCGCGAACATTCGACCAACTCTCACTCGACGCCTTGGCCGACGCGGCGGTTATCACGGAAACTTTAGCATTCCGTAATGTTTGTGGAATCAAAGATGAGCCCGGAGTTGGTGCGCATGCTCTAGACTTATGGCGCTGACGAATTTAAAAACTTTACGGGAAAGGAATACGAAGTTTTCTCGTACTACAAGTGAATTCACTCCTTTACATGCACGAGTTGTCCTCCAAGTAGACATGAGCTTAATCCAAATGAAAATATTGATTATTTATCTTCGTTGGACGAAAAGAAACTTGTAATCTGACTAAAAAAACAGTTTAGTCTCGACTTAGTGATAAGTCGCGTTTCGTTTTCTCCAAAGACATTTTTCATTTTTCAGACATTTGTCGCATTTCATAGAGGCACTCGCGCGTCTGAAAGGCTGAAGTATTTTTTTATTTTCTACGGGCAGCCAAAATCGTTTGATAAAATGGAAAAAGGCTTGAAATTCATGAAAAGTCGTATTGCTATTAATTAACTCTCCTTTGCCTCACGAGCCAGATATTTTAAAATTGTGTTGGTTTTTCAGGCCAAATAATTGTCACGAAAGTTTGTTAACATCGTTATTACAAACGTTCTATTGACAATATGAAAGATTAGAGAGATTTATTAATTGCTTTAAATTAACTTTTTTCCATTGAACAAATGAAAATAATTGCCGCGTTTGCTGCGGTTTGTGGTAAGAGCCATAGTGACTTTGGTGTCATATCTTCTGTTCCAAACGTGCAATAAGTATTATAATTTGCTTTTGTGATAAGCCCCAAAGGTGGCCGAATAAAGACATAAATAGCAACATCATTATCTTCCGAGTGTTTTGAATTTATGCGATGCCTTTGTTTGTTATGTTCTTCGGAGGAAGACGCTGAAAAAATCGCTTCCTAGGAATATAACTTGGAGGCGAAACAGCCAAGACTGGAGTAAGTTTGGCTCTTCAGGAGTTGCTAGCCGCCCAGATAGCTAACAGTCCAAAACCCACATTCAAGTGAGGGTAATAACGAAACTCATTGACCGTGAAATCTAAAGAATAACAATGCATTCACGGTTGTTTGCTTTGATTACAGGACCAGAGATAAATATAATTCATTTTCCATACAGTTTTCAAATTTTGAAAAGACGTTGTAATCAGACTTTAGATAAAAACCATTCGACCAAAGGTGCATTTTGACTATAAACGATTCGATATCGCGGATAAAGTTAGCGCGCCAAAAATGTTTAACTGTCAGATCCCTTAGAATTTGCTTCTGGCAAAAACTTCCCGTTTCATTCTTCAGCTTTACCCTTGAAAAACTCTGCCCTCGAAAATTTACATTACACGATAACCTTAAAATTCTGGGGCCAGTAATAATTAGATTTATCTTACATGCAATTGTCCCGTAGCGAAGGCCTCTAACTCTCTATTCCTTGTGATGCAGCTTGCGTCCGTTCGTCTGCTAATCTGAATTATTGAATTTCCCTCGCTCTCTATTCTCCCAGCAGGCAAGCATCGTGATTGGTAGAACTGCACGGTAACGAAAGATCTTTCGATATTGACCTCTCAGAATCTGTTGTAATAAATAGCAAATTTACAATTTTATCATACCTCCCCGAACAGCTCCCCACTAACTTATTCGCGCTATGTCGGTAGCATGGTAATTTAGCTAAGTTAAGTAAATCTACCAGCGGCCAACAGTTCTTGTTAAAGAAACTCCAGTTCTCGATACTATCCGTATTTTCGACGTTTTTGCATTGTTCTGTGATATTCCTTCAGGTCAACCAGGATTCAAGTATCTGTTACAGAGTAAAATAGCGCTGGTTACGGGAGACAATTGATTTTTTCACCACTGCACTTGAAACAAGGTAGAAATTTGCACGGATTGGTCCAACTATATTTAGCGACAATTTCTTCGGACAAGTTAATGTGCACTGCACGTACGAAGATAAGAAAGTTTTTAAAACACGTACGAAATGGAAATTAGACATTCGTATTACGAACCAAAATCCTTGATGCTATTTTGATTTGCTTTTAATGACGAAAAACAGGAAATTCTTATAAAAATAAAGACGATTAATGAAACACGTTTCCCTGTTGTGTGATCATGAATTACTTACTTTATCCTTTATCTGTGACATGATGAAATAAAAGCCTGCATTTCTGAGACAGAAAACTTTGCGGAAATTCTATTAGAATTTTCATCTAAAATTCATTAGCTAATACAAATACCACATTTTCCGCCGTGGTTACCATGCATGCATACAAAGTCGAGTTCTTTGTGCCTGAAAAAATGCCAGAATGAGTTGGCGATCATGGGTTTCACTCTTGTATAAATATTTTCACAGTAAATTATCCTAAATTCTTTCTATTTTGCCAAATTATCACATCTTCATCGTGATGACAAAAGTTTCTTAAGAATGTTCTTGACGCATTTCTATCACAGTTAAGTTGTTTCTACGCGCGGTGCAATCAGTTTATTTTTGCCATTTGTAATCGTGTCTTCAGCCGTCTTCCGCAATCGCGCGATGTGAAATTTAGTTGGGTGGGAGAAGAGATAAAATTTGATTTAGGATTACAGAAATAACTCAGTTATCTTTCGTAATCAACAATTATGTTTGATGGCCATTTTTTCCGCTTTCTAATGTTCACATTCTGATCAATCCATCGATCCATGATCAACAGAACAAGCCAAGGGTGATGTAGAAATCTTATCGTTTTCCGACTTAGGATTCTGAAAATTCCAGGCTCCAAAACAGATACTCGTTTGGCACAGAAATCTTGAGAAAAATAGATTTTCAATGCATTTCGGCTCCTACCTTCAATTGGCGTTTGACGGTCAACTGTTGAACAAGATTCGTAGTCCGAAGTAGCTTATTACAGGATGGCATCAGTGACGACTCTTTTAACAAACTTCAAACGCGCACGAGCAGGCATGGGTGCCGATTACGGGACGCAATCAACAAATTATTGAGTATAAACTAATAAGCTAATTCACTCCCAAAGAAAAGAGTGAAAAAATCCGAATATCAAGAGTATTTGAACATTTTAACTATTTTCTGGTACTTCTCTTTTCCATGTCTCGTCTCTCTCCTCTTTTTTTGTTTTGATAAGTGGAAGGGGTTTGGAGAATTTCCGTGGTAATTTTCTTTCCAAACCTGACGAATCTTCTCGTCCTTCTAAAGCTAATGCAAAA